GTGCTTTTACTCCACAATTCAGTGTGATTATAAAAATGAGTTGTGTTCCCTTGAAGAAAGTGCTTTGGACTTTGTACATCCCAGATTACATTGATCCGGTCTGGGGATGTCGGCAGTTGGGTTTGGCCAGAGAATATAAAACCCCCCTTTTCTTCTTGGATTAGCAGTTGTGCTATTCTAAACACAGTCAAATAATTGATAGGCTTGATTTTAATGACATAGACTTTTGAGGTACTGGTGACTGTGCCACATGCACAAGCCCAGAAGCTAAGACTAGACATCTCTGGAGGAAGACTTATGTGCTTTGCTGAGGCCTAACACAATGGCCATTTCAGAGCCTGTCTTCAGACCAGTATCATTTAGAACTTTTCCTTAATACTACCTGAAGTCTTACAAAAATGTAGTTACCTAAATAAGCTGAAAATGATTTATATGGCCTTCATCTAAATAGCCATAATTTTTGGAAGGTAACAAGATGCTTGAGATCTGACATGAACCTGAGATCCTTGCAGGCAACCTTTCATGCAGATAGACTCCCATGGTGTAGATGAAGAGTTTTCATCATGAGTGCCTTCCTTCGCCATGAAGCCTTGATACTACCACAGACCACAGGCTTATCATAAAACCTTTGTTTAAACAGTACATTGTATATATCTGGAGAGAGCAACTGTAGTAGTTGAGTACAGAACATATTTATATCTGCCCTAGCATGTTGTCTCATATGTTTAGAAACTCCTTAAAAACAAACAAACAAACAAATGGAAACCCTGGAGATTCAATCTGCTCTCTCCTAGTGTGTGTTCCAGAGTAGTCACATACTATCCATGTGTATACGTCATCCCTGGGCTCTGTCACCTAGAGAAAACTGTTGTCTGTCTGGTACACACACTAAGGTTAAGTTTCCAAAGCAGCTCACATTATTATCCTTTAGGGACTTTTAAAGTACATTTTGAAGATGGTTGCAGTTTATCTTAAGTATTTTGATTTTCTGTCCTACTGCACTCCAGGGTCTTCTGAGGTTCTGTTGTTTCCACCATGGATTTAGCAGGTTCCATTCTTGGAGCAGAATGGTTGCAGCCGTGGTGCTCTTCATAATTTAGTTCTCAATATTTCTTGTGGAACTTGGACTCATTTAGTATAAACTGTTGGCCAGAGTCCTTTGCAGTCACTCAGCTTCTCCATGAAGACAGTTTAAAGGACAGGTAGATTCAGAGACTCTGGACCCTTTTTCTCAGCAGTCTGTCCCTGGGGGAACTTTCAGGATATTGAATATAGAAGCAGCACTTCATCTGCATTGGCTGCCAATGTCACATTGGTTTCTGTTATTGATCTAGATGTTTGCTGCAGTTTATAATATGCCCAGTAACTGTATTAGAATCCTTTCCTGATGCTGTCATAAAAAGATCTTGACAAAAGCAACTTAAAAAAGGGTTTACTGAACCCACAATGCCAGGCTATATGGTCTGTCCTTGTGGCCAGTCAAGGTGGCAGGAACTGGAAGCAACTGTCACATAACATAATCACGAGCAGAGAGCAGTGAATTAGTGCATCATTTATTTTATTGCTTAGCTCACTTTCTTTACTGCTAACCCTGCCCACGGAATGGTACCTCCCACACTGGGTGGGTCCTCACTTCAATTAATATAATCAGTATAATCCTCCACAGACATGCCCACAGGCCAGTCTAATCTAAGACCTTCATCAGATCCCTTTCCAGGTGACTCTAGATTGTGTCGATTTGATGATTAAAATGAACCCTCACAGGACAGGAGAAATGTCTCAGTGGTTAAGAACACTTAGTGCTCTTGCAGAGGACTACAATTTGGTCTCTAGCACCCACATGGTAACTTACAACTGTAAATCCAGTTCTAAGGGATCCAACAACCTCTTCTGGCCCCCATAGGCAAGTGGCCTCTATGGTCAGGCAGAACACTCAAATACACATAAAAATAAATAAGTCTTTAAAAACACACCAAACCTGTTACAGTAGTTTTGAATATAAGTGCAATCTTACATTCAAAGGCTGCAATGCCCTATAGAGCTGGCTTGTCTTATCTCACATCTTAGTGTGTTTCATAGCCAAGGCTGCAAAGCTTTTGCCACCTGGTCTGGCCTTAGGTCGTTATAGCATCACTAGTAAGCTAAAGCTGCTCCTGCTTCTTTCCTTCCCCCTGAGCTGGTGTTCAGGTTAAATTGAGAGGTTCTGTCTTCAAAGGATAAGACTGTTTTCCAGAAATACTGTACCAGCCTCTAAGGACCATCCCCCCAAAATGTTTCCTGGTTTTAGGCAGTTCCTGCCATCTAGCACCACAATGGTAGACCTTTCCCGAAAGGCTGCTGTAGCCCTTCCCAGACCAACACATTTTGAAAAGGGTCTTTGATTCTTATTCTAATAAGCAAGAAATTCAAATGAATTGAATGGAAATGGTAAAAAATAATATTAGTTTTAATCTAAAGATTCTATTTTTGGAGGTGTTGAACAGTAGCATACGAAATAGATATTATCTTGGTGGGACTATGAGTTTGCTAATTCACATGACAGCTGTTCCTGGGTGTAGTCTTATTTTTTTGTCAGTTTCTATTTTACTTTGTGATCTCCTAAAACTCCTCTCTAATGAAAAACATTGATGAGCAGTGTGCATTTTACTGGCAGAGACCATTAGTTTTTCCCCTTGGTTGTGGTGGCTTCTAAGATTCTCCTGGAATCCAAGAGGAACACTGCATCCACACCATTTCTTTGGAGAGCTGATGATTTTATAATACTTTCCATCTTCTAGTGGTAATAGTTACACAAATAAAAACTTAGAAATTAGTGAAGCTCTGAAACTGTAGTAAAGGAACTTGGTTTGACCATTTCAACTTATATCCATACAACAACTTAAAGTTCAAGAAGCTGGCATGATATAGATACAAAGAGTGTCTACTTATCTAAGAAAAATGTTGAGGAAACATGTAGACTATCTTTTTAAATTACAAATCAATTGTTTCAATAGTTGAACTCTTTCTACTCTGAGGAAATTGTGGCCTGCCTGTATGGCATAGATTTGTAAAGTTGTACTGCCTCACTTCTGGGCACATGAGACTAATTGAATTGAGATATTCTAGAAGCTGAAAATGCATATTGGATTTTAAAGATGTAGATGCTCTCTTACCTTTTTAAATTAGATTTATTCACTTTGTATTTTGCCAGCATATATGTATGTACACCACATGCTTGCTTAGTGCATGCTGAGTCAGAAGAAGGCATCAGATCCTTTAGAACTGGAATTACAGATGGCTGTGAACCACTGTGTGGGTGCTCAGAATCAAACCTTGAAAGAGCAACAGGTTCACCTAACTATTGAGCAACTCTCCAGCCCCTAGTAATGCTCTCTGTTTTTCCTCCGAAATTGTTAAGCCTGTAGCAGGGATTACAGATATGTGTTACCATGCCCGGCAATATATTGATTGAATATTTTCTATAATTTGAAAGGATACAATTTTAGATATGTTGGGTTAAGTAAAATATCAAAATGAATTTCACCTATTTCTCTTACTTTTCTGCTGCGGTTAACTATTGGCTCACACTATTTGTTGGACAGTGCTGGACTAAGAATGAGAACATTGCAGTTGGTAAAGGCTGCATTCTGACCTCTAACTCTAGTGTTAGACAACAGCCTATTCACTTTCAGCATGTGGGTAACTCTTAATGATTTAGAGGACTTATAACTGAGGCATGATTAAAAAATTAGAGTATTTAGTTTGACTGTACTAAGTAAATAACAGGAGCTTAAAAAAAACAAAAACAAACAAACCTTTCATTGAAAAAAGTCCATGGAGCTCATAGCTTACACAGCCAAGGCAATATGCATCTGTACCCAGACTTCTAGCTATAAAACTCTTAAAATTTGCTCCTAAATTAAGTAAAAGTAGGGAAGCATTTGAGTTTGAGTGTTCTCGCTCTGAGAGATTTGCTCCTTTTGTATACCATTGTGTACATTTTTACTTCCGTTTTTATTAAGCACACACAGATCATGATTATTGAAGCTGTTGTTGGGTTGCATCCCTTGGGACCTGGCGCATCTTTTCCAAAGACTAAGACAGCCTCTTGAAGACTCCTCTGCCTCTGTTCTGGTGCAGTCTCGCATCTTTAAGTGACCCAATGGTTTGCTATATGTGCTTGACAGTGAACAGAGTTTAAGTTCAATGTTAGTCTTCACCATGGAGTTCCAGAAATTGTCTATGCCATTGAAAATGTAACAAACCAAATATTAAAGAATATTTAATTCATCATATGGGTGTACCAAATTACACAAATTAGTCTTGTTTAAAGATAATATTCCAAAGTGGTTGAGAGCATGGGCTTTGGAATGCAACTGAGTCCGACTGTCTCTCTCCAGCAGTGTAACTTGGGCTGCTGGTTAAGTCTCCACATTGTTACCTTGTGTAGGATAGATGAACTCAGGTTCCTCTTGCTGGAGTGCTAATCTACAGTAGCTTAGACGAGGGTATTTGAGCTCATAGTTTTGTGGGTTTCAGTCCCTGGCTGTCTTTGGCCCTTTTGCCTTTGGACCTGGAAGAGGACAGCACATCATGACATGGCCCATGTGGTGGAGCAAAACTCACCTCATAGCTGAGGAGCAAAGGAGCAGCAGCAGTCCATTAACTAGAAAAAAAAAAAAAACAGGTCATATTAATTGGCACCTCCTGTAAGCAGCCAGAGGATGGTGTATTATTTTTCTTGCTTTAAATACCTGGAGAGCCTGACTCTGGCACATACATAGAAGTCTTGGGTCTCCTTTTTACATCTCTTCAGAAGCATTGTGGCTCCCTAACTGTGCCTGTCCCTCCTATGAGTTCTGGCTGCATTCTGCCATTCTGATCTGTATACATAGTTCTGGGAAGAGCGTGGACAGGTTTAACAACTAACTCTTGGTGCCCATAGACCTTTTTCTAGCACAACTTCATTGTATTGTTTTAAAATACCACAAGGATGAGAATGGGAAAAATGGTGTCAGTAAATGAAGGAAGCAGAGAGTCAAGAGATTGAGCCCAAGGATGATAATGCCTCCTCATCCCCAGGGATTGTGAGAGAAGTAAATGAGATCTGCTGTAATTGTTCTTGATTTTCTTTAATGATGCATGGAGTATCCTCTTATTTCATTTCCTAGGTACTTTGTATATAACCTTTTTATTATTGTCCAACTATGTGTTGAAGAGAACCTTGGTCCTATGAAATTTTATTGGGCTTGCTAATAATTAAGGTTGTAGGTACTTACAGAAAAGCATTCCATGCTTCTGGGAAATATTTATACAGGATAAGTACTTGTATTTGATTTTTACTGAGTTTTCCCCCATTACTACTAGTGGAGTTATTAAGCAATTAAAGCTGTGCTGTCCACTATGGCAATACAGGTCACACAAAGCTCCATACATTGAAATAAACTAAATGGGAATATATCATCAAAGCACATTACATATATGAAATTGGCAGGTTGAGGTCCATTATTTTGTACAATTATTGTATTCCAATGAGAAAAAAAACTCTAAAAGACAGACAATAAATGTAGTTTAGCAGTTTCGGTGCCCATATTTCTGGGTAGTGATTATTAATTCTTGGTGATAAGTAACTGTTTTGGAGAGAGCTTCATGTGACCATTGGCCACATATATAGAATACATTTGCCTTAGAAATTTTTAGTAACAGAAATGTACTAAGTATGAGGAGATTAAAAAGCCACACATTTTATTTGACTTGGAATCATTACCAAAGTCTAGGGTTTGCTACTAGAATAGTTTAGTTACTCTGATTCTGAGCACATCAGGTAACTAATACTATTCTAGTTGCAGATTTGCAGTTTAGCTCTTCATATTTTTAAAATTTGTCTTTTTGGTAATAAATATGTTGGATATTTTTTTATTCATGTCCTGATACTGTATTAGAAGCTCCTGTTTTCTTTTTCATTTTTTTTCAAAGATTTATTTATTTATTATGTACACAGTATTCTGCCTGTGTGTCTGTCTGCAGGACAGAAGAGGGCACCAGATTTCATTGTGGATGGTTGTGAACCACCATGTGCTTGCTGGGAATTGAACTCTGAACCTTTGGAAGAGCAATTAGTGCTCTTCACCTCTGAGCCATCTCTCCAGCCCTACTCCTGTTTTCTTAAGCATTATAGCTTTGTGTGGTCTGAAATAATACTGTGCATATGAAATAGAGCAGGCACATTCCTTTAATCCTAGCACTGAGGAACCAGAGGCAGAGACAGGCATATTTCTTTGAGTTCAAGGCCATCCTGGTTTACATAATGAGTTCCAGATCATCCAGGACTACATAGTGAGACCTTATCTCTCTCACACACAAAAAGATAAACAATAACATTGATTATGTTCAATATGAAATGTATTGAGGTGATTGCATGGTGTACTAGGAATGAGTTTAAAACAGGACATATGCATTGCCTACTGTGTGTAAGCATAGGCTTTGGGGAGATTTGAATCAAGAGTGTCTTTATGCTGCTCCCATTTATTATGTGATGCACTCTTATACAGATGTCCTTGGAATGGTTGTTGTGAGATTCAAGCTTGTCTTGTATGAGAAGGTAATGTTTTGTTTTCAATCCTAGGAAGCTCTGCAAAGAATCATTTCAACGCTGGCAAATAAGAACGATGAGATTCAGAATTTTATTGATACACTAAATCACACACTGAAAGGACTTCAGGTATGAACATTTCTATCACTAATTGCATATCTGAATGATTGCTAGTATAATCTCAAGTTTAAATAACAGTGCATTAACTTGGGAGTATAACATTATGCAGCTGGGAATGGGGTCCTCAAAGGACAGAGTAAATCACTTCCTGTGTCATTCCTGCCTTCTGTGCAGGGAAAGCAAGTGCTGAGGGGCAAGGACAGCTGACATCATGTTTACAAGCAAGTATTAAAGTCTTGCGCTTCACTAATTCCAATTAAGAGCAAATGGTGTCTCTTTGTAGTGGGAACAAACCATTTTTTAAAGATCATATGTAATGCCAAGGGAGGTGCCAATGATAGGACTTGGTTGAAGAAGCAGACAAAGTGGGACATAGATTCAGAGGCACAGTGCTCAGGTAGGGGAAAGGAATGCTTAAGGAAATGACCTGGGTTGGGACAAATAATCTTTTATTATGACCTGAAGTCACATATTAAAGTTTATTACTTTTCTATTATACCAGCAGTTCCCAAACTGTGAGTTGTTACCCCTATGGGAATTTGATGACCCTTTCACAGGGGTTACATATCAGATATCCTGCATATCAGAAATTTATATTATGATTCATAACAGTAGCAAAATTAAAGTTTTGAAGTAGCAGCAAAAATACTTTTATGGTTGGGGGTTACCACATGAGGAACTGTATTAAAAGTCTCAGTATTAGAAAGTTTGAGGACCACTGCTGTAGAGTAAGGTAGTTTATGATAGGAATTTATTCTTCCCTTTGCTTATGCTTTTTAGTTTTTAAATGTTGGATAGTTCTTGAGTAAAGTCTTGGTTTTGTTTTGTAAAACAGGAAAATTCTTCCAACATACTTTCAGAATTAGAAGAAGAATTTGATAGTTTGTACTCTATGTTAGATGACGTAAAAGAAAGTATGGTCAGCAGCATCAAGCAGGAGCAAGTCCGTAAATCCCAGGAGTTACAGGTGAGGGTGTTCACTACCTGATGCCGGGGTTCTGTAGGCAGAAATAAGCACCTGAGTATAACCGTATGTTCTCTTGCCAGGGTGGTTTTAATGGCTTGGAACATAAATATCTTTAATATTTTCTAAAATTGTGGTTAAAAATGCAGAATTTACTGTCAACCATTTTAAGCTATAGCTTTTTGATTCATATTGTTTTAGCAGAATTCAGGATCTTTTCCCTCTTATTACCATGCTGAAACTCTTCAGCCCCGAAATAACAGTCCTCACTTGCCCTCCATCAGCTCCTGGCAGTTTTGCCATTTGCTCCATTATTTTGATTACTTAAATGTTTCATGAAAGTGGAATTGTACAGCATCTGTCCTTTCGTGACTGTGCAACTTTAGCATAAGGTTCCCAAGGTTTGTCCATGCTCTAGCAGTTGCCAAGATTTCCTTATGGCTGAGTACATTTTCTTTATAATACTACATCATCTTTGCCTCTTCTTCTCTCTATGGACCCTGAGCTGTTTATACCTTTGACTTGTAAACAGTGCTGCAGAGAGTATGAGCAGGCAGATACATCTTGAAGACACTCTTCTTTCCTTCTTTTGGCTGTGTACCCAGAAGTCAGTGTGCTGATCATGTGGCAGCCATCCCTCAGTTTTCTGAGGTGCCGCATACTCTGTTCTCCACTGCCTACACTCTGATATTCTCACCAGCTGTGCAGTGATTCCAGTTGCTTCATTCTTATTAACATCTGTTTCCTGTTTTCTTTTGGTGGCAGACATCCTAAAAGGGTATGAATCATTTTTTTTTTTGTTTGTTTGTTTGCTTGCTTTTTTGAGACAGGGTCTAAACATATAGATCTGGCTGTCCTGAAACTCACTTGTAGGCCAGGCTGGCCTCAAACTCACAGAGATCCATCTACCTTTGCCTCCTGAGTACTGGTATTAAAAGCATATACTGCTATACCAGGCTGTGAATCAATATTTTTGTTATGGTTTTGATTTCTATTTCTCTAGTGATTAGAGAGAGAGACGAACAGCTTTTATATGCTTGTTAATGCCTATGTATTTTGCTTAAAGAAATTTTTGTTTATTTTTCCTGTTTACTTAGTAACTTATTTGTTGTTTTAAAGTCACAGACTTACTTTGCTATATTTTTATTTTTAACTCTGTTTTCAGCATGGGAGTACTGGGCTTTTGAATCTAGCCAGGGTTGTGTATGTGTTAGGCACAGGCTATGCTTACCTGCTCACCTAGCCCTGGAGCTCTGGATAGTAACCCTTGGCAGATATGATTTGGAAATATTTTCTCATATTCTATATTTGCCTTTTAATGTAGGTTTTTCATTGTTCTATAAGTATAAATTACAGTTCAAAATAGTTTTTAATACTTGAGTCATACATAAGTATGACTTGCTAACTTAATTAGTTAAACATTATCAAGAAATTCAGTCTTCATTACAAAGGTTGCTTCCTGCAGGTAGATTATTCTAATATTTTTTAAAATCTTTTTTACTTTCTAATTCATTTTTTTTAAGATTTTATTTATTATGTATACAGTGTTCTGCCTACATGCCAGAAGAGGGCACCAGATCAAATTAGAGATGGTTGTGAGCCACCATGTGGTTTCTGGGAACTGAACTTGGGAACTCTGGAATAGCAGCCAGTGCTCTTAACCTCTGAGCTGTCTCTCCAGCCCTATTCTGATATTTTAGTTTATATTATACATAATTTTTGACTACTCTAAGAAACTGTAAGTTAATTTTATTCCACTTATAATTGCTTTATTTCTTCTTTTGCTTTAATTATGTACTCAATATTTTCATCTGCATATAACTAAGCTTTTAAAAATATTCATGTCTCAGAATATGGGTGGTATATGCATGTCAGTCCAATGACAATTTTTTCGTCAAGTTTTTACCTTTCACTGTGGAACAAGTTGGTGTTATCAGACTTGGACCACAAATACTTCTGTCCACCAAGCCATCTTGCCATCCCTAGTTAGGCTGTTTTGGATAAATTATAAGAAAAAAGGCAATTTTGTCACGCATATAACTGATGGTAATTTTCCTTCTTCATTTGCTCTATGATGTATGTATATTTATTCAATTATTGCCATTAAAATCTCCTTAAATTTATTATAGCATTATTTTGAGCTTGGCAGTAGGAAAGTTCACTTTAATGATTTGGGTATTGTGCTTCTCCCTAGAGTCAGCTTAGCCAATGTAACAATGCCCTGGAAAACTCAGAAGAACTCCTAGAATTTGCAACCAGATCATTAGATATAAAGGAACCCGAAGAATTCTCAAAGGTAAACAAAACAAAAAGAAAATAAACAAAAACACTATCCTAGTATACTGAAGGAGTATTTAAAGAAGAGCTTTGTCATTTCTGATACTGTAAAGGTCTTGGGGTTTTTGCTAAATAAAATATAAGGTGTTCACTTATTTCAAAGCATGTTTGTTTGTTTTACAGTATGTATCTTTGGGATGAGAAATTGATTATTTTAGTTCTCTTTTTTCAATTTAAATGTTTTCTTTTCTCAGTCATATCACTATTGGCATTTGTTTTAAAGGTTCTTCAGTACTTGAGCCAAGTCGTAATACTCTGTAGGCCTACTTCAAATGCTTAGTTACTGACAAAATGGAATGGGATAACTTTGAAGTACAATTAGTAGACCAGTTGTGAATTGTTATAAAGCTGGGAAACCAATTCTTTCCATCACTCTGTTTTTAAATATCCCATACTAAAGTCTTTAGGTTGGGCTAATGTAATTGGAAACAACAACAAAATAGCCTTGACTAAAACCCACAAATGATTCTTCTCATACTTCTTTATCTTCAAGTTCTGCTATTTAAATTGTCGGGTTCCTGTTCCTAGAATGAGATCTGGATCTGAAGGGCCTCTCTTTATCAGCATTATACGATCTGAAAGTGAACAAGAAACAATGGCACAAATATGATAGGATTTTAGAACATGCTTCACACTATTTTTTGAATATTAGAAGTTTGGTTGATAGTAAATATATGCAAAAAGTTCAGATGAGATCTGGATCATTAAGTAAATAGCCAGGATTCCACAGACTCTGGTTTCTCCTGTCACTAGTACTTGGCTTGCAAAACAGTGCTTGGATCCTTTGTCAAAAAAATTAACATTCCTATTATTACCTTGAATTCAAACCTTGAACTCTTCCAATGAAAAGAACGGACCAGAACAATTTCCAAGTCAGCATATAATTATCTATCTCCTTCCAACCACTCATCAGATTAAAAGGGAAAGAATGGTTTCCTACCCATGAGTATCTACTGTGGAATGACAGCTGCAAGCTACTGTGAAAGGGGAACAGTGTTTTCTGCATTTGATCACAGATGAAAAGAAAAAATGGGGCTTATTTCCTTTTTCTCACTTGCAATAGCTCACCCCTGGAATACCTGCTCAGGGCATGTCAATCTCTTGAGCACTGAGAAGAGCACACAGGATGGAGCTCAGTTGTACTCTGCAGGGAGGGTTGAGAGGGTCCTTTAGACTGGTCAGCAATGCCGAGGTCAGAGAAGGACCTTTAACTAAAGTGTACGTTAGCTTTGAAATATTTACTAAACACATCATAAAATAGAACTTTATCTTGTATTTCTGAGTGTTGGTGTCTTACAGAAATGTAGACTACTGTACAAATGTGCTGGTTATAAAGAAGGTGTGAGTAGTACTGTACAAAAATTAGTTTCAGGCTATTTACTTTTAAGTGAGCATGTATGCGTTTGTTCATTTGTTTTCAGTGTAGTAGTGTTTTGCTTGAATGTATGTATGTGTACCATGTATATGTGTTGTACCCTCAGAGGCTAGAAGACATCAGATTGTTGGACTGGAGTTACAGTGATTTGTAAAACACCCTGTGGGTGCTGGGGACCGAACTCAGGTCCTCTGCAAAAGCAGCAAGTCCTGTATACCACTGAGCCATCTCTTCCAGCCCTGATCATATGTTTTGAAAAATATCACTTTTTAATAGAAAAAGTTAAATATATATATATATGTATATATATACATATATATATATATATATATATTAAATGCACACAAATCCATATCCTTTAGTGTATAGAATCAATGGGGATGGCAACTAGTTCTTTTCCAAAGGTCTTAAAAAGAAAAAAAGAAAAGACAAGTTTTCCTTGCATAGAGCTGGCTGGCCTGGGACTTGATATCTAAACCAGGATGGCTTAAAGGTAAAGCTCACAGAGATTCACTTGCCTCTGCGACCTTACATGGCAAAGTTAGTATTTTTGCCTAAAGGAAAAAGAGCATTTTGAGTTATCTCTCTCTGTCTCTCTTTCTATTTTCCTTTGTATAAAAAGAAAAACAAAGATGTTAGGAAGAAATACACTTTCCTGTCTTTGGCAGAGTCAGTCAGTCCCTGAGATTCAAACATTAGGACCTTTTTCACATCCTGGAGTATGCACCTGTGGTCTATGATGTCACATGCCACAAATGAATATTTTTAATTACCTTTTGGATTTACATAAGAAAAAGAAACTTCAGGTTCATGAACATTTGAAGAAGAAAAAATATAGATTCATCTGAAGGCTGAGCAACCACACTGGAAAATACTTATGAGAAAGACTACCAAGATACGTGGAAAGAGGAGCAGCAACGGAAAGTATAAGAGCCTCTGCAGTGAGCAGTGCTGCCTCTCTGCTGGACAGAGGGACTGGTGGAAGCAAGCATGCTTTTCATCAGGAGAAAAAGATGAAGAGAGAAGGTGAGACAAGGACATTCATGTGCTCACAGTCCACGCTCAGGGAGAAGCAGGATTAAAAGTTATTTGAACTAGCAAGAGAAAAAGAAGGCGTGGAAGAGGCTGAGCTTGTACGAAGGCCACATCAACACCAGAGCTGAGAGCCACTCTTTATTTTCCAGTTTGCTGTGAAAAGCATCACTTCTCCCCACCCCAGACAACTCTGGTGTAGTTAGCAAAGATACTGCCATTAAAGTGGGTTTGATGTGGTCCTTGTGCTACAGGAAACAAGGTTATTTGGGGAAATAATATCCCAGGTTACTTACGAGTCCTGAAAATGAAGCATGTATAAATGCCATCTTAGTGTTTTGACAGTGGTTTCATACTGACAACCACAGACCAGTCAGGAAATCCACCATTACTGTGATGTTTCTGAATACTACCACATAGCCTGACATTGCTCTCAGACACCAAAAGAACTGTCCTGTAAATTCTTAGGAAGACAGCCTCGTCTTGCTGTTGTTTGTTTGCTTGTTTTGAGACAGGGTTTATGTGTATCCCAAGCTGACTTTGAACTCCTGTCCTGGCTCCACCCCTAGTGCTGGGATTGAGGCACACACCTCCATGCTCAGTTTATGTTGCTGGAGAACAGACCACGGGCTGTATGCATGCTAGGCAAGCACTTAACAACTGAGCAACATCCATAGCCCCCAGGTTTTTAAAGTGTAGAAACAAGAAAGTATTCAAAATGCCTGAAAAATTCACAGAATATATTAGTTTCTGTGTCTTCTCATTGTAGATTAAGAACAAGATTCAGCAAAGATCCGTTTTTCATTCGTTTAAACTTAGTTGGTAATTATGAGCAATTATTTGTATGAAGTCCTTTACTCTTTTGCCGGTCTACTTTAGTAACTTGGGCCTAGGGTGACAGGTTCCCAAAACTGATGTAAGAAAGGATTGTAATTGTTAATTTAAAAAAGCAGAGACTAGGCGTGTTAGCTCAGGCTTGTGATCCCAGTATTTGAGAAGTTGAAGCAGGAGGATTACTGTGAGTTTGAGTCCAGCCTGGGCTATATTATGAAACTGTACCTCAGAAAACAAAACAAAAAAGTTAACTGATAAAGGAAAGACAAAATGAGATAGAGAGGAGAGGACCGTATAACTCCAGAGAAAGCCAAGCTCTCTCCCAGGTGTACCTCTGATTGGCGAGTGGAGTCATACAGCTGCAAGTAAATTCGGTAGCAGCATCGTGCTGGAAAATTGTAGGCTTCGTAGTTTAGAGATAGAGTTATAAAATCATCATTCTTGAAAGTAAAACAAGAGCTGGGAGGTGATGGATGGGTCCAGTCTTTAATCCCAGCACCCGGGAGGCAGAGGCAGACAGATCTCTGTGAGTTCCAAACCAGCCTGGTCTACAGAGGGAATTCCAGGAGAGGCAGGGCTACACAAATAAACCCTGTCTCCAAAAACAGACAGACAAACAAACAAAAAGGAATTAAAACATAGGAATGAAAGTATATAGGATAAAAACTTTGGATGACTTTCTTTGGGAGAAGAATTTCTAGAAAAAAATAATTGTTCTATATTTAAAGTATTTCTTGAAATTGGGCCATTTTAGATAAACAGTTTTAGAATTTGAGACTTTCCTCTTACTGTAGAGGTAATTTCTCATCTTCTATGTTTACAGATGCATTTAAAATAAAATGTGAACCTAAATTGGAGCCACAGAATTTTCATTGTGTATCAGATGTAAATACACTGGACAGCATTTTCTCCTAGGTTATCTTATTTCTCGTTTGTTCCTTTTCTGTTGTTCATCCTCCACAAACAGCATGGTATGTGAAATGATGCTGCAAGAGCCTTGTGTGCATGTGTATGTACATGTGCACACAAATGTGCTATGCTACATACAGACCGAATCATAATGGTCTTCCTCTCAATGGGTCATGTGGGGAAACTGGGAAACAATATTCTTCCAACGAAGACAAGCAAACTTTCAAGAAAAGTAAGAGGTACAAGTGAGTGCCTTTAAACTCATCATCTGGTGTCAGTGTTAAGTGAAGAAGGGTAATGACAGTGGTACTTCCTCTGTATGTAAAGAAGTATTGCATGCAGAGGAGAGTCCCTTTTCCTTCCTGTAACACCTATATGAAAATCACTCTTAATTCCAGCTGCCATGACAGTACTTTTTAAAACCAATATAGTAGTTGACTAATGTAGTACTCTTACAAAAGGGACTGTGCCAAACTAGGCTCATGACTTCAGGAGATTGGAGATCCACCACATTTGGTTGGCTGTAGTATGTGGACCTTGGAAAGGATTTTTTTTTTTTTAAAAAAACATTAAGAACCCCAAATCTTTAGTAGAGAAAATGATTAATATACAAGGCCACAGAGTTGATTACTGGTAATGCTGGAGCTGTAGCATGTTGTTATCTATATTAAACCTCAGTTCTTTTGTTTGGAATGGTACTCAGGCCAAAATAGTTGAGGCTGGGTATAAAAATGGCCTGTAGCAAGTAGAAACAATCAATGTTAGGACTGAAAGATAGGACTGAAACAGAGCACTGCATTATACTTCTAATTTACATTCAATTGTACTCAGTTAAGTATTTCTGTGTACCAGGCTGTATGCTAGCAAAACAGCTTTGTCAGCTGTAATTGTTAACTATGCTTATTAGCATGGAAGAAAATCTTTTGTTGGATATATTGTGTTTCATTCATATATAAAAAAGAGGTAATGGTTTTGTGTGACTTCATTGTTACTCTCTGACTGTATAGTACAGGATAGTAACTGCAAACCCTTCCTAAACTTGTATTACCATTTTCTAAAAACAAAACCAGAAGATATATACAATAGTTTCTTTTAAGTTGCTAGCTTGTGTGAGCCTTCCTGAAGGAAAGACCCACTTGTAAGAGATGTTTCTCTCATCTCTCCTTGTCTGAATCTCTATTAGAACTCATTTCTTGGGTGCAAATGTTAGAACTATAGTCTAGTTTTGTATGCCAGCAGGCAAATTTTCATATACATAAAAACTATTGGAATGTGTCGGAATGTGTGTCTATGAAAGAAATTGTTTCAGTTGAAGAATATCAAACCAAACACGAGCAAAGGTGTATTTTGATAATCGTATGTTTGAAAAACCACAATTATAGTTCCACGAAATTAGTTGAAATGTTAAATTTTTCCTCCTTTTATGGTGGTCGGTGTGGGGGTCTCAATTCTACTGTGATCCTAACATCACTTTATCAGGCTTACATGAACTATATAGATTTCCTGTCATTTATTTTTTGATGAACTATGAACTAATCTGTTGCAGGGTTTATATGCTAACTTTTCTTGCATGTCACTGCCATTGAACTTGCATGAAAAGCACTAACTACCTTCTTTCTCTTCTCCCTGATTGGCTCCAAGGCTGCCAGACAGATCAAGGATAGGTATGGTATAAAACCTACATTTTTTATTTAAGTGTCAATATTGAAGCCAGAAATGAAATTCTGAAACCAGTTTTCTTAGAATTCTGTTGATGAAAATAACTATATGTAATAGTTAAGTACAAAATAAAGAAAATGTGCTCTGTATATCATAGAATAACCAGTAAACTTTTTAAGGTCACATTTTAAGTTGTGGAAATTACATATTTCTAAGAGAATTTCATTTCTGGTGTAATACCATAGTTAGCTTTAGTTTTAGAATAGTTCTTAATTAGTTTAGTATTGAAGATTGATCTATTTTGAATAACTTAAAATACATCTTTCTGGGATGCAGTTTTCAATGCTGTTCTTAAATGTAAGTGGATCTTGTTTTCAGAGAGGCCCAGTGCTGCCAAGTGTCTGCAGGAGCTGAGGCTTTTCACTGCTGTCCTGGTTAACCCCTCTGTATTCTCTCTGTCCTTTTCTGGTGCCACCTCTTTGTACTTCTAATGCCACCACTGTCTTGTTTATATACTGTAGGAAAAAAGTCAGGAAAACTGTTAAGTACCTTGGCTTAGAAGGTGTCTTTAATTGGTACTGCTGGGAATAAACAGGACATTTAGCACTTGCTGGAACAATGTCTGAGTGTTCAAGGAGCTGAGGTAATATTTGGAGTGTCACTCACCTGCCTGCTTAGTCACCGAGCATTGTCTGTAGTCTGTAGTCTGTAACTTAAGGATTTTATCTCATGATCATGAGAGTCTCTGATGGGCACAACTCTTCAGTCTCTTCAAGTCTAGATCAGTTTATTCTTCATTAGGTAATTCATAGAAATACTCAGTATGGATTATGTGAAAACCAGTGTCCATTGTTCATTTGGAGAAATTTTCCATTGTGTTTCTTTTGTGGTTATTTGATGATGTGGGAGAGGGGACAAGATTTGCATAATGTCAAAGCATTCTTAGTACAAATGCTAATATGTGGCTCATTATTCTAAGTGCTGGATATAGGGAGATCACTAGGGTTTTGTTGTTCTAAGAGATGGTTCTCAGTGTTTCTAGGCTGGTCTTGAACTCTGGGTGCAAGCATGCTTCCTGCCTCAGGAAGTAGTCCAGACTGTAGGTGCATGCTGTGTGCTCAGTGAAGAGTATGCTTTGTGAGGAATGAGTGAGAGCAAAGCCCATGATAAGGTAGATTCATCTGTGGAGATTAGCCAGAAACAAGCTTCTCACACCCAGGCTAGATTATTACAGTTAACTGGGTGTATTCCATTAGATCTCACTGTGGTTCCTGATTTTCTGATTTAGAAATCAATTCCTGACAAGGTTTTGGACTGTCCAAAGAGTCTTGAGAAACTTGTCAAATCTCTCCTTTATTTCAGGGTTCTGTTTCTGTGCGTCCTCAGCTCCCATCTTTACTCCTGATGACCTCTGTTCAGGTTTGTCTGAATTTAATGTCAGTGCCAGCTTTTATGTCTTCTCTCCTCACTGAATCCTCTGTCCCATCTTTTCCTCTTTCTCAGTCAGCCCCTCGATGTGATCACATCAGTATCCAGGCATCACAGGAGTCGGAGTCCTTGTTTCTTCTGTTTTTTTCAAGCCTACACTGTTTTCTTTGTTTGGCTAGCCATAGAGCATTTGCCCCATGTCTGGAGAGTATTTCTAGGTCTTGGCCTATTTTTTAAAAAACTTGGTTAAATGTGCTCGTCTGTTTTGTGATTATTTTCTTGTGACAGTAATAACAGTAGGAAGAAAAAGTCTTTTAATTTAGCTGTTCCTATCAGAAATAATCTAACAAAGTTAAAGTGAATTAAAACATAGCAAACAGCATGATTTGAGAATATCTTACCAATTTTAGACTTTAGTTTGGATCTTAAGGCTAAAATTTGTCTAAATATATTCAGTTTAAAATAATTTTTATTGTTGTCCATCTGAAATGATTCACATAAGTATTTTTAGTTTTTTCTTTGTTTTTGTTTTTCTGAGACAGGTTTTCTCTGTGTAGCATTGGCTGTCCTGGAACTTGCTCTGTAGACCAGGCTGGAATTGAACTCACAGAGATCCACCTGCCTCTACCTCCCAAGTGCTGGGGTTAAAGGTGTGCCACCACTGTCTGACAATTCATATAAGTTTTTAATTTTTCATTTTGACTAGACTTTTTTTCTACTGCAAGTGACATTTCTACTGCATTTTTGGGGCATTCTTTTTCATTGTGGTTTATGTCAAGGTTTTTTTTGTAGATTTTATAGATTTCAGCATTTCTTATTAAGTAATTAATTCATTGGGTTTAGAAGAACCCAGAGAAGTTGAAACCCATTCACTGATTGAGCATCTACGAACTCTCTCGTCTCAGTGTCATTCTCTAGGACTCTTCAGTGTTATTCAGGACTGTACACAGCAGTACAGGTACGGCTGAGCCCTCATCCAGACTTAACAGTGTAAACAAAAATATTCTTTGAGAGTCAGCAGCCTAGTTCTGGGTGTGAGCAGGATCAGTGTATATTTGGTGTCTGAAGCATTCAGATAGTGGGAGTTGCCTTCCTCATGAACTAAATTAACAATATTATACTTTTTTATTGATGAACTAAATAATTGCTGTGTTTTCATTGTTATATTACAGTGATGACTTTGTTTTTAAATGAAGTAAAATAACTGAATTGAGCAACAGCTTGACATCATCAAATTTGCCATCATTCATCCTGTTGATCTCTTGGTGGCAGATCCAATTGACTAGACCTGGTGTTCCCTTTTTCCAGTAGCTCTGTTAATATCCTCTCTCAGACTGTGTACTAGGAAGAGAACACTGGTGAATAGTACTTCTGTATCTTTCTTTTTTTTTCTCCAAAGATATTACAGGACTGATTGTGCTATTTGTGAAGTTTAATGCAACATGAAAATAATGAAATTTTATGATTGAGTCACAAGTTAATTGAATAAAGGTTTCTTTTCTTTTTGTGTGTGGAAAAAAAGAATGCACTCATTTGGATAGCTGAGGAGAAGCAGATACAAACGGGCACAATTAAGTGGCTTTTCTTTTTCACATCAGCATATGAGTTGCTTTAAATTTTCAGTTTTAACTAAGAACTTTCCCCCATCCTTTTGATACTGTAAGATCTGATTTGGCTTGATTCTTATTTTGTATTTTACTTCACATTATCTGAGTGTTTATTGAACACTTCTTTTTCAATGACCTATAGATCTACTAGGCAGCTTCTCATAGTGTCTTTCCATGTAATTGATGTAGAGAGATGAGAATGATGTCTTGGTAGTATGGAACTCAAGGCTAAGGATCTTTCCTTTGTCATTCATGGTCTGTCATTATCAGGTATTGCAGTGTGTAATGCCAGGTCCTTCTGCCTCTACTGTTTAAGAGCGCATGGTGTAGCAGTAGCTGGGAAAGTGTTTGTAATAGGTTCATTGTTTGGTGAAAATGAGTGAGGCTAGCATTAGGATGTCGGTGAGACTGTATGTAGAGGTTCAGATGAATGGGATCTTGTAAGCAGTATTTATATTAGATATTGCTTATTGTGATATCTATCTGTGAAATTTTATGAAACTGGCTGGAATCTTAGCTTTTGATTCGATTTTCAAAATAAAGCAAATTTCTTTTGGACTGCCTTTGTTACAGTTTCTACAGTCACTAAGTGAGATAATTTTTATCTTAATTTTATAAATTACATAAAATTTGTTACTTTGCATTCATTTGTTTTAAAATGTTTGTCTGTGTTTACTATAGAGTCACAATGGCTTCAGCCTTTCGCCTGTCTTTGAAACCAAAAGTCAGTGAAAACATGACACATTTAATGGTGGATTTCTCTCAGGAAAGACAGATGCTGCAAACTTTGAAGTTTTTGCCAGGTAAATACATTATTACATGGGAACTTTCAAATAAAAAATATTACAAGATTTTTGCATGATGAAATATTTTTGTTAGTGTTGTTTAATTCTATTTTTTGTATTTTTAGTGCTAAATAGTATTTCCATCACCAAGTAATACTGTTAGTTGCTATGTAAAATTATTAGGACAATGGTGATTTGGGGAATTTTTTTATATATTGGCTAGGTTGTTGTTATTATTATTGTTTTAACTTTTATTCTTGTGTCATACATTACATCCTTACCAACACTTTCCCATCTCTCCACTACTCCCAGTTTCTCCCCTGTAGTGATATATCCATCCACCGGCACCTATAGCATTGACCACGTTGATTTGGGCATAGTCACAGGTGCGGACATGACGGGTTGGGTTTAGGTCTGGGGTCAGGACCAGTGGCTGGTTCTCTCTTTTCTGGTCGGGTCACAGAGGGAGCATGGGTGAATCCTTGGAGCTGGAACTTGCGGTAGTCACCCACTTCTTGTGTAAGTGCACAAGAATAAACGTCTCCTCGAATAAACTTCACTTAACCTACACTGAATCTAGCGAATCTTGATTTCCACACAATATCTGTCCCCCTCTGAAAATGGCCTAACAAAATGCAATAAGACTGGGCACAAACCTTCACATCACGACTGGACATTGTGAATAGGAAACACTAATTGCACAAAACCATTCCTTCTCTGAATACAGGTTAGAAAGGCTAGGTAAGTAATCATGATGCTATAAAAAGAGCCCAGTGAGAGTAATATAGGTGAAGGACTAACTTGCAGAAATTACAAGCTGTAGAGGAATACGTAAAAGGAAAGGTGAAAGAAAGGAGTGTAGCTGTGTGGAAGAAAGAACGCTGGTCAGTGGGTGGCTACGTGTGTGTTGGCTTTTCAGGATTCAAATGCTTCCTGACAACACAGATTTGTTTTGTAGTTTTCCACATTATAATGGTACAAAGTGATATACATTCAGCAGAGACCAGAGACCATATTCTTTTTCAAACTTTCACAACTGTGATTTATTGGTTGAGGAGCAGAGTACACAGACATTTCAGTTCTTAATACATGCACCCAATCTCTGAAGAGTCATACATTGTATTCTCGAACCCCAAGAACCACGTGTTGTTTCTCTTTGAACTTATTTCAGTGATATTCCAGCCTCACACGTGTCAAGTTTCCCTAAGACCTCACAAAACACTCAAATGCTTCCAATCCTCACAATTTTATTTATTATCACAATCCTCACTGACTCACAATTTTATGCCACATACAGTACATAATCCTCAAAATGTCCACCTCAAAATGTTCACCTTATCACAATTGTTAGGAAAATGGACAGCCATGACCATCAGAGATCAGAGACAGTTCTGACAGGGCAAGAGCTGAGGAGTGGTTTTTTTTTTTTTTTTTTTTTTTTTTTTTTTTTTTTTTTTAAGGAAACAGTTCTACTAGAAACACCAGACCAGATATAACTGAAAATACTGCAGACACAAATGCACAACCAAGACTCCAAATTACCACTTAGATGCTTTATGCTGTAGGATCTAAAACTAGCTCCCTCTACCCCCGAGACAGTCACAGCCTCTCCTGATTATTTTCTGGTTGTACCAAAAAAATAACAACCAGCAAATGATTTAACCTCTTAAAAAAATCATTTACACTTAAAAAATGGGATTAGGTGAGATTTCCTCCCACCTTTTAAAAATGTTTCTAGAGCTACTAAAAAACTCGCATTTACAAAATAGTTGATAAAAAATATTCCTCTGGATTGTACACAAAGGGAGGCAGGAACCACTGACAGACATGATGGACAGTTAGTTGGACTTGGCTTCTTTCTCTTCTACCTCAGAGGCTGGACTCTGGTTTTCAGTCTCTCCATTCTCTGCAGGCAGATCTGCAGTCTGCTGGTCAGCCGCTTCAACCTGTTTGCCTTTTGTTTCTCTCTTCCCTTTGGTTTGCACATTTTTGTCTGATGATTTATCCTTTCCCGCGGCCTTTTTTGGCTTGGCGTCCACCTTGGCAGGGGCTCCGCCTTGGCCGCTCCATCAGCCCTGACCTTCTCTTGGGCATCGTGGTTGCGCTGGGAGGGAAGCACGTGCGATGTCGAACCCCATCACGGAACTGCTGCCGGCTGCTACCACACGGAAATGCTCAGAGACCATATTTTGAATTTGGGTCTTTTCCTAGGTTGGCAACATGCAGTGGGATATGCTTTTGTGATGGAGGATAGCAGCAGGAAGCCACAGTTTCCAATGAGCCTTGTAAAGAGCCACTGTGTGCAGTGCAGCATTCTGTGTGGCTAAGCTGTGATCCACTTATGAAATGGACTAGGCTTATGAAATGAATTTTCACATAAGATATTTTCAAGTAATGACTTCACATTTCAAGTAATGTGAAGTCATACCACTGTAAACTGAAGAACTTCTGTACCGTCATTTTACTCACGGGCTCTCCTGGTGTACAACTGATAACAGTAGGTAGGCAAATAATATTTTGATAGTTTTAGAATACCAGATACTTTAAATGGTTTGATCAATTCAAATATGACACTTAGAATTTCCTTGGGAAGAGACTGGATTTAATTTAGTTTTGAAAATTTGAGTTTTAGCATCAGAGTTCTGCTGATTACTAGTTAACTGCAATTTAAAGTTTTACTACTCAAAGGTTCAGTTGTGAGCTTGTGATGTTGCTTAGTGCTAGAACACCTGCCTAGTTTGTATAAGACAACATTGCCAAAGAAAGAAAAAAAATTCCAAATGTTCACAGGTAGGGAGTAGAGGGAGGGACTTTAAATTTCAGGCTGGGAAGTAGATCCTCAGAATTTTTCAAGAATGATGTTTCTAAAACACTTATGAGAAAGAAAAATTTTTTTTAAAAATTGGGTCACATTCCTGATGTGTCTCTATTTACCACCAGTATGACTCTAGAATTTCACCATTTTCATGTAACCATTTCATGTAACATGTAAAGCGTTGATAAAATAATTGCCATCCCAGAGAAAAGAAAAGGAGACTGTAGTAACCTGTCGAGAAGAGCTGTCTTATGCAATTTCTCCACTAATTAGTTACTGGAGAGGAAAATGCATGCCCAGGAAAAGGCAGAGCAGAATGGAGTGTGCTAGCGAGCCGCTCATCCTCATGGCACAGCAGCTTTCTTTGGGAGCCGCCATGCTACTGCTCTGCATCACAAACAGGAAGGGCCCAGACAAGTGTCATAAACACGGTCATGTAGTTGACAGTATTTGGGCATGTTGCCTTCCTAAAATGGCTGTTTGTTTTTATTAAATTCAGTGTTATTCCATTTCTTTTAAGAAATGGATGTATATGTATATACTGTTAAATACTTCTACTTTGGCACTTAACAATATGTGGGAGCTTCTTGTTGATCACTTCAGTCTCACTAATGGCCATATAGTCTGAAATTTTACATTGTATTTATGGACAGAGGACAACTTGCAATAGTTGACCTTTGTCTTATATGTGGCATATACCTTTGACACCTTAGCTTTTCTATCAAATCAGTTTATCGTCATTTTTATTGCCTAACAAAAATTTTATTTTTTATACAATCAATTATATACATCACTCATTTCCTATGTGTCTGTTATATTTTTAATAGATCTTACTTAGATTCACCACTGCATGTTTAAATAAGTATATACACTTTCCTACAGTTTACTGTCTGTCCTGGAACATGCCATGTAGTTCATTCTGGCCTTGAGCTCATAGAGCTTTAACTACCTCTGCATCCTGAGTGCTAGGATTAAAATCATGTGCTATCATGCCCAGCTTACAGTTTGTTTATTATGTTTTGAGAATAGGTGTTATTTCAGAGACCAGTTTTAGGTTCCTAGCAAAACTAAGTAGGATGTGTGGAGCTTTCTAAAAAAAATATGCAAGACACAAAGTTCTTACCCATCAATATTCCACAGCAGATATGGCACACTTGTTATAAGTTACGAACTACAATGATATGTCATTATCGTCCATAGTCTGTAGTTTACATTGAGATTCCCCTTAGTATGACCCTCTCATGCTCTGTATGGCTTGCCTTTTATGGAAGGTACAGAGTTGGAATCTTTTCACTGGGGGCCTTTACAGATTGGCTTCTTTCATCCAGTAATACACATTAACTTTCTTCTGTTTCTTTTCATGGCTTGATGGCTCATTATGTTTTAGCACTCAATAAATAGTCCTAATATACCATAGTTTACTTATATAGTTGCCTACTGAAGGAGGACTGGATTGCTTCTAAGTTTGGGCAATAATGAATATAGCTATAAACATGTATCTGTGCAGATGTAGGTTTCCAGCTCCTTTAGACAGTTTCTGGGTAGTGTGGTGAGATTGTATTTATTTTGGTAGAAAACCTCCTGAGTGTCTTCTAAAGAGTCTGATTTTGCATTTCCCCACCAGCAATGAATAAGTTTCTAATGATCCACATTTTTGCCACCATTGGTATTGTAGTGTCATTTCATGGCAATTGTAATTTGTATCACATGTAAAGTGGCACAGCTGTTCATATACTCAGTCTATGTTGTTTGGTGAGTTATCTGTTAAGGTTTTTTGGCCTTTTTATTTTTTAATTGAGTATTTGTTATTTTGGATACAGGGTCTCACTATGTTGTTCATGCTGTTAACTTACAATCCTCCAACCATGGCCTTCTAAGTACTGGGATTATAAGAATGAACTACCATGCTAGGCTCTAGAGTATTTAATTTAGCAATTCTAGCCTAACACATTTCTTTAATGATCTTTAGTGTTGTATCTAAAAACTGTCACCAAGCGCAAGTCATCTAACTGTTGTCCTGTGATATCTCTAGGAGTTTTATGCTTTCACCATTTTCCATTAGGTCTTTGATCCATGTTGAAGTTTTTTTTTTTTTTTTCCGTGAAAGAATGTAAAGTCTGTGTCTTCTTCTTCCTTCTTCTTCTTCCATGTGAATGTCCAATAACTGCAACATTTGTTGAAAATACTGTTGTTTGTCCATTTTATTGCCATTGTGAAAGATGAGTCAAATCTTTTTCTGGGTCTGTTCCATTAATCTGTCTGTTTTCTTCTTTCATCAGCATTGTGCCCTGAGTTCTGTGGCTTTAAAGGTGTAAGTCAGGAGACTTACGTAACTGCATAGGTATTTCAGGTGATGGAGTGTTTTTCTGGTGCAATTCTGCCTCCTGGATCTGCTGTTTCTGTTGGAGGACTGTTGAAGTCTCTGATTGGCCTAGATCCAGAATAGCACAGACACTGCTCCATCAATACACTGTATACATTTGACATCTATGGCCTCCACAAGAGCTTCCCTCTTTAGAGTCTTTAGCATTGCTTCCTTTGGGACCTCTCTGGACTAGAAAGGAATTATGACTTATTCTCCAAGTTTCTGTAGCTTGCTTTGATAAGGTGTTTATGGATCAGTAATCATGAATGAAAAAACAATCATCGTATCACACAGTATTTTATGTAAATGACATGGTAAACACACTCCCCCAAAATCCTAGCAATAGTAGAAATAAAGAAAAAGGAAGTGAAACCCGTCCAAAGTGCTTTTTAAAATGGAGAAGGGAACAGAACAAGAAGAACCAAAAGAACTGCAAAAACAAAGAGAAATCAGGTGGCCAAGTGGCAATAGAAAACTTGAATTTTGGGGCAATCTAATATTCATTTGAACTTGGTCACCCTCTCCTTTTAGCTTAGAGTTATTTAACTGAGGTACTTACTTTGTTAGTTCTTAGTTGCTTTGTATTTTGACTTTTATATGTGCCTCTGTTGCCTTTTTGAACATATGTATTATTACATACTTGTGCATGTTAGTGTGTATACAGGGACAAGTATGATGTGCAGGTGAACATATCAGAATCCAACTTCAGGTGTCATTCTTCAGGCCTTGACCACCATGATTTTTAAGATAGGGTCTCTCACCAGTGTGGTAATACTTTTTCATCATACATTTTTAGACTGCCAGCCTGCAAAATAATGACATGGAGACTTACTGTTAATTATTAAAGCTTAGCCTTAGGTTAGGCTTATTCCCAATTAGCGCTTACAGCTTAATTAACTTTCTTTTATTAATCTACATTTTGCTACATGGTTCGGTTACCTCTTTTCTGTACAGTTTGTCCGACTTGTTTTGCATCTCGATGGTGTCTCTTCTTCCCAGTGTCCTCTCCCACCCCAAAGTCCCACCTAATTTCTCCTGCCTAGGTATTGGCCATTTAGCTCTTCATTAAACCAATCAGGAGATGCCTTAGGCAGAGACACCATTATAGTGTAAATAAATATTCTGCAACACACCAGCCTGGAACTAAAATTGATTAGAATAGACTAGTTGGTTATGAAACTCCAAGGATTCACTTGTTTCTGCCTCCCCAGGGCTGAGTATGTAAGTGTACTAGTACAGTGCCTGGCTTTTGTACATCAGTTCTAGGCATCGAACTTGGGTCCTTATGACTTTACTGACTGAGATATCTTCCTCAGCACTGCTGTAATTATGAAAAGTAGTACTTTGTTTTTATAATAGCTTTATATTTATGGAAAATTTGGCAAATAGTAGAGTTAAAGTTTTGAAATCTATTTCTTCCTCCACAGTTTCCCCCATAATTATCATCTTGAATGAATAAGGTCCATTTGACACAGTCAATGGACCAATGTGTGATGGTTTATTTTGTGTGTGGAGGGGGGTATCTTTTGTTTTTGTCGTTGTTGTTATTTTTAAGTCAGGAACTCACTATGTAGCCCTGGCTGTTGTGGAGCTATGTAGAGCAGGCTGGCCTCTACCTCAAGAGATTTGGATGCCTTTGCCTCATGCCACCATACCTGGGTTGACAGTTTATTCCTAGCTGGTATCTATAGTTTGTATTGGGGTTCTCTGCTGACACTGCACAGTTTTCTGGGCTTTAATGGGGGCTATTTGTTGTTATATTTCCAAGCAGAATTTCCACAAGGAATAAGTTCACATTGTTAAGTTCTCTTTGCTCCACTTACTCATCGCTTATATCCCACAGGGATTCTATGGCCTCTTGTTTAGTTTAGATTTTCCTCCCTTTGGTTATTTCTTCTGAAAAGAACATTTTGGTCTTGTTTAGTTTATCTATGTCTCATTTTATTTTCTTGTCCTGCTGGGTTTAGATAGAACTTAGAGTAAAATGTTGAGTTGTAATGATAGAAGGGAAGATCTTCATCCTAGTTTTGCAGTCTAGGGGTAAGGTGTTGTGTTTCTCTCCATTAAGTGTGATGCTAACTCTAGGCTTTTTTGAAGATTCCTTTTTACCCCCTAGTTTTGTTGTAGTTTGCTTGCCTGATTTGAGAATCCTCTATCCTCAGCTTCCCAAGAACTGGCATTACAGGTATCCACCATTGTGAACAACTTGGAAAATATTTTTAATTGTATGTGTATGAGTGTTTTGCCTACACATATGTATATGCACTATGTGTGTGTGTGGTACCCTCAGAGGCCAGAAAAGAGATTCCCTTGGGACTGGAGTAACAGACAGTTGAGAGCAACCATTTGGGGCCTAGGAATAGAACCTAGGTCATCTTCAAGAGCAATAACTGTCTTAACCACAGAGCCATCTCTCCAGCTCCCTGAAAATATTCTTTTTTAGTAAAGTTTCTTAACTGTTCCTACTTTCTTAAAAGTTCTTGTCATGAATATTGCATATTATCATTATAATTCACATCTATTCTTATTATCATATCTTTATTAATGTTATTGAATATATTCATCTATTTCAGTTGTTGATCTAGCTTTGCACACCAGGAAGAATTTTTGTTTTTGAAATAGAGACTCATTCTGTAGCCTTGTCTGCTCCTAGAACTCACTGTGTAGACGAGGCTGACCTCAGACTCTTAGAGATCTGGCTGTCTCTGCCTCCCCAGTGCTGGGATTACAGGCATGTACCACCATGCCCAAGAGGAGTAAACATTTTTAATTCTCTTTTTAATCAACATGATTTTACATATGATATCTTTATAGTACATGCAGAGTTTCAGACAGTTAAGACACATATGTGTTGCAAGACTATAAAATCTCTTTTATGGAAAATAAATTGATTTACAGTCATACATCTTAATTGTAACTCATTGAGTCCATTTATTTTTAATATATCATGAAACTCTCTGGAGAAACAGTTGAAAACTTACAAGTATTTTTGAAGAATGAGGAATTCAGTTTTGTTTAATATGTTAAATTTTTTAAGGTTTTTGAAATTTGATGGACATATATCAATTACCTGTGTTTATGGAGCATAGTGTGATATTTTGATATACAATCAAAGCAAAAATCCATAGTCAAATTATTCATGATCACATCTTTACCGCAAACATTTGTGTTGGGAATGTTAAAAATGTAACTGTTTATATGACAAATTATTGTCAACTATTCAATTGTAATCATCTTCCTCTGCTTTGGAATATCAGAATCTATTCCTGTTATTTAACTTAATATATTTGCTCATACCTGGTAACCAACTGTTCTCTATTTGCCCACTCCCTATAAACAAGATCTTAAAAATGCACTGCTAATAGACTTTATAATTAATTCAACCATTATATTCAAAGCTTGTCAATACTGATTTAATTTGTATCAACATTTAAAATAATAGATTTAAAATATGTTTAGAAGTAACAAGTCATTTCAATTATTCTCTCTCTCTCTCTCTCTCTCTCTCTCTCTCTCTCTCTCTCTCACTCTCTCTCTCTCTCTCTAGCTTTTCGACAGGGTTTCTCTGTGTAGCTTTGGAGCCTATCCTGGCACTCACTCTGTAGACTAGGCTGGCCTCAAACCCACAGATATCTGCCTGTCTCTGCCTCCTGAGTACTGGGATTAAAGGCATGTGCCACCAACGCCCTGCACATTTTCAATTATTTTTAGCATGGACAGATGTTTGGAATTTACCTGTTGCCACTTAAGATTTGAATAAACCTATAGTATATGGGAAGGCTTTGGAATGCAAACTTTTATAGTCTGGCAATAGAAGAGACTTTGAAAATATTTAATTTGAACTTGTAGGTTATCCTTTCTCTTAGTCTAAGTCACTTTTGAATATATAAAAAAGGAAATAGCAAAGGTTGAATGCTGAGCATAAATACTTGATTGGTATTATAATATGTGAGGACTCATATTCCCTGCCCCCCTTTTCTTCTCTACAGTCCCAAAAGCTCCAGAAATAGATCCAGTAGAGTGTTTGGTGGCTGACAACTCTGTAACTGTAGCCTGGAGAATGCCTGAAGAAGATAATAAGATTGACCATTTCGTTATGGAATACAGGAAAACAAACTTTGATGGACTTCCACGAGTGAAGGATGAGCGATGCTGGGAAATGATTGATAACATTAAGGGTAGTGAATATACGTTATCAGGTAACCTGACAGCATCTCATAAATCTAATCCTTAGAAAATAAGTGTAATTAAGGAAAATATTTTATTTTAAATGATAAAATAAAGTACTATTAGCCAAACTGATTTTAAAATGTTTATTATGTGAATGAATTTCTGTTAAAATATCAGATATTACTTAATATCTGCAATCTGCTAAAATAATGTATACAAAGAAAATATAAAAGAATGTTCTGGAAACAGTATTTCAAAGTAATCTATTTTTCCATTTTGTTTGCTTTTTGCTTTTTAGACAGACTCACTGTGTAGCACTGGCTGGCCTGGACCTCACTATACACCAGAGCAATCTTGAACTGTGCTTCCTGAGTTCTAGGATTAGGGCATATAATACATGCCCAGCTGATCTTTAATTTTAATTTTAAGTTTTTGACCAAGTAATTACTTATTTTACGTAAACCTCCACATTTTAGAGATACTGTGAACACCATTGTTTTCACCGACACAGAATTGATTACCTCCATTTTTACATAGAATGGGACTTGGCTAAGATTTTTTTGTTGGCCTTTTGAATTCTTTTTAAAAGGTGTCTTAGTATAGTTAGGGCTTTTGATGCTTTAAATGACAAAATATTAGCTGAGCTTTTCAGTGTTTCCCATGCAGAGTGGGATACATTAAGAGCTGTCCTGTTGAGTACTAGCTCCTTCCCAGGAGCTGGTGTTCTGCTCAGGAGACATAACAGCGCACCACAGTTAATCAACACACCTGAATGGTTGGGAGCAGTTTTTGTAATTTTTACTTTAGCAAACAGAGATCAGTCATGTTGTGAAAGGTCTTATAGCTAGTAATATTTGGACTCAGATTTTAGTCTGAGTTTAACTACACAGGTTTAACTACGCAGGTCATGTTAATCTCTGTGTTTTATTTCCTTTCATTTTGCATGTAAAACCAAGTCCTTCATACAAATATAAAAATTCCTTAGGGGTATTTACTTTCAAGAAAATTGATGAATATGCTATTGTAAATTGTGACATCTCTCCTTGAATGAAATACTATAGGTTTTTTATTGTTGTTGCTGCTGTTGCTCTCTCTGTCACTGGTTTGTTGTGATTTTTTTTTCATCCTTTGGAGATAGGTTTTTGCTTTGTAGCCCTTGTTAAACTGGAATGAATGATCCTCTTATGTTGCCTTTATAAATGCTGGTATTCAGGTGTGTGCCAGTATACCAGCACAATGCCACTGCTTTTTTTAAATTAATTTTATTTAATCCTATTTTACATACCAATCCCAGTTCCCTCTCCCTCCCCTCCTCCATTTCCCCCACCCTCTCCTCCTCCTACCCCCATCCACTCTTCAGGGAGGGTGAGGCCTCCCACTGGGGATCATCAAAGTCTGTCACATCCTTTGGGGCAGGACCTAGGCCCTCTCCTAGGCTGAGAGAGTATCCCTCCATAGGGAATGGGTTCCCAAAGTTCGTGCACTAGGGATCAATATTGGTTCCACTGCCAGAAGCCCACTAGACTGCCCAAGCTCCCCAACTGACACCCACGTTCAGGAGGCCTGGTTTGGTCTTATGCAGGTTCTCCAACTGTCAGTCTGGAGTCCGTGACCTCCCACTTGCTCAAGTCAGCCGTTTTGTGGGTTCCCCAGCATGGTCTTGACCCCTTCTTCTCTACAACTGGATTGAGTCTGAAAGGGTCCTGTTTTAGTTATCACTATGTTGAAAACATTGTTAATTGTATAATTTATCTATTTTGAAGAAAGTATTAGGTAAGTCATTATTCTTATTTTCAGACATTATCATCTATTTAACAGAAACCTATACTCTCTCAAGGAAAGAGATTTCTATGGAGGAAAAAATGTCTGATGATGCATACTCACTTTTGGGAAGGAATTCTTTACTTTTTATGACATAAAAACTTTCATTTTTTTAGGCTTAAAATTTGATTCCAAGTATATGAATTTCAGAGTGCGAGCTTGCAACAAAGCTGTGGCTGGAGAATACTCTGATCCAGTGACTCTGGAGACCAAAGGTAAGGCTGGTAGCCATTGTACAGAAGCAGGCAGAACTTGGCATCAGAGGTTATTCGAGACTTTGTCAGGGTCATTTTGAGTTTGGTTGGATTCCTTCCTGCCACCTACCTCTGGCTTTTCCAATGTAGAAATTACAAGGCAGGGAAAATAGGACTATAGCAGTAGAGGTTTTTTACTAGATTTTTCCCTTATAAATATATTCATGTGGGTAAAATAGACTGAGATGATAGTATTGTCTTTCAAAATTACTTTCATTCAGTTCATTTTTATTTATTTGGTTTCTTCTGAACTTTAAATTACATTTTATTTATTTTGTGTGCATATGTGTATGGAGGGTGTCATAACATGCATAGCATCATGCATGGTGAAAGGAAAACTTGTGGGAGTCACTTATCTCCACTGTGTGGATCCCAGGGATCAAACTCACAAGGGCCTTTGCCTACTAAGCCATCGCACTGTCCTGAGGTGATGCTCTTATATTTGCCTCTGGGTGTTTAGTTCACACTTTGAGTTAGTGTAAATACATAAGCATTACTGAAATTGTAATTTTCAGAGAATTAATTATGAATTAGCAACAAAGAAATTCCCTCTATTTTCCCCAAATTTTCTTATAGTTATTACCATCTCTACAGTTCATTAATAATTACACAGCACACACAATTATGTCACAGTATATATTGTTATTAAGCTCATCTTGAGATATTACTGGTATCCATAGTACACATGAAGAAAGGAGAGTTGAAATATGTAATATCTACCACAGTCCCTAGATCTGCCCTCTATGGGTATGAGAATCTATTCTGGATTGTAGGCCATCCTTTATTATAAGCTTCTAATCCAAGTTCTGGTCTCTCAGAGAAGTTGAGATTTATGAATGTCCCCTTTTGTAACACTGAAGAACGTCTAGGTATTTGCCAATTTGAAAGCCATTCTTCTAGATTTCCCCCACTTTTGAGGTGATAATTGCCTGAGTTTACTTCCTGAATTAGACTCTACATTGTAATCAGTACTTGAGATTTGGAGCATCCCACTGACTTCTAGTTTATTTATGATATGTGTGAATAGATATACTTATTAGAAATTTGTTATAATCTAGATAATAAACATGTGCCACAATAAAAATAAGTCCTATAACTTGACCCCAGACACTGTGCATGGTAGGCAAGTGCTTGAACCTTCAGGACCTGTTAAGTGTTTGATGATACAAACCCAGAGTAATGTTTGTGGCATAAAGACCTAGAAAAATTCTCATTTGAAGTCATTTGAATTAGCAAATAATTTTACTTGAGAATTAAATGTAGCTTAGTGAAGAAATGTAATTGCCTTGAATTATCATCAAACCAAGATACTGTTTTTCAAAAGGTTTTTATATTTTAAAGCCTTGTCAAATTTCCAGGCAGATAATCTTTTCTATGTGACTTGGACTACTTTTGGCCCTTGTCAAGAAAGATTTCATTGCTGTAATTATTTTGCCTAAAGAGCATCAGATCTTTGGGTTTGTTGGTGTTCCTTTCCATTGTCTCTTTACAGTTGGGGAACAAGCTTGGACCTAACTGTGACAAGCTGTAAATTCTATGAAAATTAAGTTGGAAAATAACCAGTTGGCTTACCATTTCCCAGGAGTCTGACAGCTGCTCCTTTAGCAGTGTCTGGGTTTTACTAAGCAGACTCTTGGGTTTATAAGAGAGGCCAAGCTGATTCTGGCCTCAGGGGTTTAATGGAAGTAACTCCCTAAGTTTGGCCTAGATTGAAATACAACCCTGTATTTGTGATTCCATAAAGCAGTTGACTTTGGAAATGTCTTAGGGTATCTACCTATTAAAGAATTCTATCTTCTTTTTACTGAAAAGCTGCATTATACTTCCTGTTTACTTCTGCATAAATACAGCTTCTGAAAGTGATAGACTTCCTTGTGTAGTATGACATTTAGTAGAGCTCTGAAGCCAGTAGATTTTTATTCAGATGTTTCATAAGTGAAACAATGAACAATGACTATGATGCATGTTGGAACCAAATTGCTTTTGCCAGAATCAGGAATGAAAGGATACTTCATCCACTGGGTAATTATTGGGCTCTGTGTGCTTATCTTGTTTGGTGATGCATATTCCACAGCTCAAAAAGCCTTAGTCAATTTTCACTAATATTTGTAAGCAAATGGTGTGTTGTAAAAGAATATTTGTTTAATCTATAATTACCAAAAAATTGAACTTTTAACAGGAGATATAGCAGAAGCAGGTTAATTTGTAACTATGTAGGTGATCCCTTCTAAGTTTGAGAATTGCATCACAAAATAGAAGGAACAGCATTGTACAACTGTTGAATCACTCATTTTAATGATTTTTTTCTCAGTTTCTAGAAAGGGAAGCTAATGTCATGCTTAGCTTACCAATTTCCTCAATAATCACTCCCAAATATTTTGAACAGTACATATAGTTTCCTAAAACATCAAATAATCTGAAAAGTATAATTTGTTTGCCTTACTTTCATTAAGTGGGTGCTTTTACTCTGTCAAACAACACATGTGTCTCAGTTCCTTTGCTTATGTCACCGTGACCCTAATTTATTCATGTTTATCTCAGTTTAGAACTAATGGGAGTTTAAGTGTGAAATTGTTAATATATTAAAGGTTCAGAGAATACTTGTGTTGTTTTTACATTATTTTATATACTATATTGTCTTTTCTTCCTCCATACTTGTACCAATTCACCTTTTCATTTTGTCTATAAACAGTCAACTGAAAATCAGCTGATAATTCTAACTACAAAAAATTTTGATTACTGTGTGCTGAGGGAGAGTTCTATAGAAGCAGAGATACCATTAGCAATGCAAGTGTACTGTACTTGGTTAGTGTATGGGATATGTAGAAAAAATAATTGGAAATAGGTGGGAGTTGTAAACTACAAACTAAGCATTGACACTTTTTTGTGTGATGGTTAGGAATTGGAACTTTTTTCTCTATACACAGAGTTTGTTCAGTTGAGTAAGAAATAATATGGCAGGTGTGTTTCAGACAGTGGAGACATCTTACATTTGTTAAACACTTTCTTGGGCAGCACTTAACTTCAGTTTAGATAACTCATCATCACATTTGAACTTGAAAGTTGAAGATTCCTGTGTAGAGTGGGATCCTACTGGAGGAAAAGGCCAAGAAAGTAAAATTAAAGGAAAAGAGAATAAGGGCAGGTAAGTCAGTTCATTAAATCTGTTATATGGATATGTGCTTACACATTGATTCATCTCTGGCCATAACTGATACTGAAATTCTTATTTTATGAACAGGTGTTTGTATGTTGATTCTTATTTGACAATACCTCATAATTTTAATGTTTATTCTGCATAGTAATGTATGTTAGTAACTCAAAGGTGAAGAATACACTATCAAAACTTGAATTGGTGCTTAACATTTTTATACCTCTTTCTTAATTTCTTTCATAATTGTGTCATAATTTTTATCTCAGCAATCTTTTTTAATGTTATAGATACATCAGTCTGAACTAGTTGAAAGAGAAGTTTCTTGACCTCTGTCTAGGCTTATAGGTCATCTGTGTTACTTGAAAGAGACCTGCAGTAAATGACAACTTTGGGCATTTCCACCCCAAGCTTTGCTGCTGAACTCAGGAGGAGGCTTGAGGACCTTTGTTATTATTATAACTTTCCTAGATGAATTAGAGTATGGAAATTGTAAAGGTTTGCTCAGACTGATGGTTAACGTCTGTGCATTAGAACAATGAATCAAAAACCGAGCAGCAAGCAATCAGTTCTATTGTAAGATGTTAAATTTAAGTTGTAAAGTAGTGTCTTAACAGTTGCCTGTTTTTATCTGACAGTGCCCATGTTACTTCTCTGAAGAAACACACAAGGTGATGATCTGTGTCTGTCTAGTTCTAGGACTTAGTATCTAGCTTGGCTGAGTAATTTCTTTTAACCAATAAGCAGACGCCATTGCAGCAGTCTTCATAAGTTAAAATGCTGCTTTGTGTAGACTGCCTGTATTGGTAGCTTGTGTTTTGAATTTACAGCATTGTAGTGTACTGCATTCTTTGAGTTACATTGTATATGATAACAACATATGCTCTGCTCTAATAGGCTATTTCTCATTTGATTTTTACCCTGCTTTTACTTATACTTGGCATCTTTCTCATTTCACTGTATTCGATAACATTATTGATTACTTTTATATGTATTTGATGAGACAGGCTTGGATTGTTCTATACTAATTATGTAATTCCAAAGTATCCAATTAAAAATAATGAGCATCATTGATAAAATGATTAAGACAATGCCAAAAATAGGGATCATTGCAGATTGTGCAAGTAAGAAGATGCTTATGTGAAGATATCATGTATCTTCAGCAAATCCCCACATGTCCTCTCTTCTCAGTTTTCTCTTCTTTTGGTTCATGTGCTCTACACTGGTGAAGGTGATTGCATTTGTGTTGTAAAATGCTGTTGAATTTGATAGACTGCATAACATTTTATTTGACAGCTAGAAAAATTGTGGACTGTATTTGGCATTTCAGGCTATATTATTATCTTTCTCCTTTTTCCTATTAAGGGTATTATGTATTTTGGCTATTTATGGACTGTTATATTAGTATCCCTTATCTGAAATATTTGAGACTCAAAGTATTTTAGACTTTGAAATATTTGTACATATAAATGAGCTATCAAAAGGTTGGGACCCAATTCTGAACTCAAATTTTGTTTCATATGCACCTTATATTCATAGCCCAAAAGTAATTTGTACATGTTTTAGTGTACCAGAGTTCTGACTGTGACTTGCTACAGGTTAGGTATGGCATTTCCTGCTCATGGCATTGTATCACTGCTCAAAGCTTTCAGTATTGAAATATTTCAGGTTTTGGGTTAGGGCTGCATAACATGTATATATTTATCTTTTTCATAGATACTTGTTTGTTGTAGAACATATAGTAGATATTATGTGGTTTATAGGGGTCCACTGTCCTTGCTTTCAAAAAACTTAGTCAAAATCATATATATATATATATATATATATATATATATATATATATATATATAGTCAGTTAGAACTGTGTGCCAAACAGTTACACCAGACAAGTCTTTCCTGACTTGCTATGATAGTGTAAGAAAGGTTACAAAGTTAAGGGTGGTCACTCACCCTGTGTTCTGTTTTCTCCAGTTGAATGGCACCCAGGGAAGGCCAGGTGAGTTAACATAGGTTATAGGTGGGATCTTGTCACTGGCAGAAAGCCCTGAAAAAAAGGTTTGTGTTGGTTATGGAGTAGAGTATTAATGAAGTAGGGGATAAGTGACAAAAACTGGCTCCCCCCATACACACACTTTAAAAAATGTCTTTACATGGGCAGCTCTTCCATAGAAACAGGTCTCTAAATAAACTGAGTAAGCTAAGAATACTGATTGGTCTCTGAGCATTATTTTAGCTAAGGGATCTGAGTCTCCAGAGAAACTGCTGTGGAACTTGGTATTCTCCACTTTTGGTATGAGCAGGCCTGCCCACTCTGCTGTCTAACACCAAGACTCCTTACTCAAGCCTCCTGGAAGCCTGCCTAGTATAGCCTTTATAGTTGTCTATAATTCAGTGTGAAATGTCACATAGGGTTTTGGTCAGGATCTAGAGTCTATGAAATTAGCATAGGAGGGTCTGGAAGACCTTCATTCAAGAAGTGGTAATTAGACTGATTCTTCCAGAAGTGGAAGAATATGTGGTGCATCATCTTACAGTGAGGGGAACAAGAAGTACAATAGACAAATGGAATCTAAAAATTAAAGAACACTTTGGCTGGTCCATTTAGTTGTATAGGACTCTAAGAGTGACAAGGCTAAAAAGGCAGATTGGGACCACAGTGTGAGCCTACAAAACTAAATTGTTTATAGACAGTATGAAAAAAATGATTATTTTAAAGTAGGGGGACCCATTATGTTTATCTTACAGTAGGGAACAAGCTGAATTGAGTGGCAAATCGTTTGGAAAGCAGGTAAAATAATTTGCCCTAGAGGCTCCTCAAGTATTTAATCCAGATAAGTAGTCAAGGTACCTATAAGATGGACAGAGGACAGTTTTGTACACCAGGTGATGGCTCTTGTCCTTGCAAGAATGTACTGCAGAGTTGGGGGGGCTGCGGTATTACAGTGGAAACATTTTCTTTATTTAACCTACTTCTGAAGGTAAACTGTCACCTCAGCAGTTATCTCTCCTTCTGTTTTTCATGCTTCCTTGTATCTCTTTATTACTGGTAAGTCACATTGATTTTAATTTTGTTTCTCTGTTTTTTTAGATGAGCCCTTAATATATTTTGAAGCCAGACTCAGTAATATATTTTGAAGCCAGACTCAGTAAAATGTTTCTTCTTCTTTCTACCGTTACTATCCTCTAAATGGTTTATTACTGTACCTGGAAAATAGTTTCCAAAATGAGCTTCTTCTCAGCAGACAGTTGGACCCAACAGTGGAGGGGTAAATGAATTTTGGGTCATTTGGAAAGATGTCCTGATTGATTCTGATTCTCTTGTGCCTTCTCAATTGATGCTCAACATTGTGTTATAAAAATATTCTAAAGACCCATATTTTTTCTAGCTTAATATTGAAAGAGCATAGTTGGCCCTGTACAATAATACCCTATTTTAGTAAAGATATTGCATATCTCCTGTGTGCTGAAGACAGCAAGAAGATGTGGTTTTCTAAGCTACTTCAGTCACCATAGCAACCATGTATTGAAGGCACCACACATTAGGTTGTGTATGCATTGCCTTTTTGTTGTCATCTTTTAGTCCATGCCTGTTGTTAAGGGAAGAATTTTCTTACTTACTTTTTCAATGACTTCTTTCCCTGCCCTCCTGCACCACTGTGATAATTTGCTTTCTAAGAGTTCTTCAAATGGGCCTGGTGTGTGCAGCTCAGTTGCAGAGTGCTTCTGTAATGTTTGCATGTCTGTGATCCTTCGCCCAGCACCAGAACAGGAAGAAAACATTGACCAATTGTTATAGTTGTGCCTACATCATAGAATCCTGGCTTGCTGCTTTTAATTCTTGCTCACCCTTAATCACACATTTACTGTAACTTCTTCCTCATTGCCTTTCATTGATCATTGCTTGGCTACTCACAGCAAGATATTTTGTACTTTTTTTCTGCATTTCTCAGTTGAGAAGCAGTCACACTCATGACTGTGGCATGCTGGCCTCCCCAAGAGGACTGGGGCCCAGAGTGCAGCTAGATGTAGTGGAGGCTGCTATTCCAAAGCAGAATCCAAGCCTTCTTTAGTTTCCAAATGTACTTTCTACAAGTATACTTACTAGTTAAAACTGTGTTTATTGTATGTAAATATCAATATATGAAACTAAAGTAGCTTGCAAAGAGGAAGGTTAATGTGCAATAACTTTAGCAGCTGAATTAGATAATCTTTTTTTCCCTTTTTTAATTTAAATTAGAAACAAGCGTGTTTTACATGCCAATCCCACTTCCCTCTCCTCCTCTTCCTCCCCTGTCCCCCACCCCCTTTCTCCTCCCCAGGGAGGGTGAGGCCTTCCATGGGGAATCTTCAAAGTCTGTCATATCATTTGGAGCAGGGCCTAGACCCTCCCACATGTGTCTAGGGTGAGAGAGTATCCCTCTATGTGGAGAGGGATCCCAAAGTCCATTCGTGCACTAGGGATAAATACTGATCCACTGCCAGAGGCCCCATAGATTGTCCAGACCTCCTAACTGACACCCACGTTCAGGGGGCCTGGGTTGGTCCTATACTGGTTCCCCAGCTATCAGTCTGTGTTCCATGAGCTCCCCCTTGTTCAGGTCAACTGTTTCTGTAGGTTTCCCCAGCATGGTCTTGACCTCTTTGCTCATCACTCCTCCCTCTCTACAACTGGATTCCAGGAGTTCAGCTGGTAGTCTGGTGATCTATCCTGAATGCCCAGTCATTTTTCCTACTGGAAAAGCTTGTTTTAGATACCAGCTTCAAATGAATATTCACCAAGTACTTTTGAGTCACACAGAATATTGCATAGATGCTTCAGAGATTTTAAATTTTTGTTAGAATTTATGAGTGATGTTAGGCCAATCTTATTTTTATTTTTAACCCTGTTCCTTTTCAGGCTTCCCAAACTTGCACCTAAAACAGTGCTTTCCATTACTTCTAAAGTAACAGAATGGCTTCTTCAAATGAAATAGCCCCAGAATCTAATCTAAAAAGAGAGGTATTGCTGGTTTCAGCGCAGATTCTCTGGCATTGTGGGTTCCCTTGAGTTCAGGACATGTCTTGAAAACTACTAGCCTCAGGCAGCTTTGTCCTCCCCACCACAGGACAATGGGAAGGAGGATATCTGTCTGTCTGTCTATCCACTTTTTGTTTTCAATTTTAGAAAAACAAGTGTTGTCTTTCGGTTCAAGATACAATATTTGAAAACACAGAGTGTTTATAATCAGGTTTTTAACTTTCCTCAGCAGTTTACATAAAAAGAATAAAAAAGGAGAGTGTGATACAGAATTTACTTATTTGACAGTGTTTACAAGATTTTGTATTCTTACTAATTAATGACTCTTAAGAGCATTGCATCATAAGTACCATTTTAGTAAATTTGGTCAGGCGCAATTTTTTATACTAATTTGTATCATAATTATATTTGGTAATTCATTATTTACTAATATTTTAGCCTTCTTGAAGAAGTTTAAAAAATACATTTGTTCAAAATAATGTTTTTCTCCATTTTCACTTTCCCTCCAACATTTTCAGACAGACTCCGCATGTAGCTCATCCTGGTTTCAACCTGTTTTTGGACTATCCTCAAACTTGCAATCCTCCTGCCTCAGCCCCTTGAATGCTAAGACTACTGGCATATGCAGCCACAGTCAGGGATTTTATTTCTTTCAATCCTCTATTTTGGAGAACTTCTTAGACGCACTTGTAGGTTTTTTTCTCCCACTCAGGTCCTTTTTGTTCTTCCCATCCCTACTTCGTGCTCCAGCAAGTTTCATAGAGTTTTCATTTGTATGCAATTTTATTTGGTATTTTCTACTATTTCCTTTGGAAGAAAACTTCTAGTGCAACTGTATTGGAAAATTTCTAAATAGTAATGATAATAAAGCATTTCCATTTTCCCTAAATAACCTCAGAATAATCTCTTGAAATCTGCCCTCCTTCAGTGTGTGAGTATGTGTGTGCGTACTAGGACTCACCAAATAGATTAGCTGGCCAATGAGCCCTGTGGATGCATCTGTCTCTACTTGCCCAGTTCTGGGGTTACACATGCAAATCACCAGTCCTGACTTTTTTTTACATGCATTCTAGGGATTGAAACCCAGTCCTTATGCTTGTACATGAAGCACTTCACCATTTGAGCTATCTCAATAGCCTAACTTTAGGATGATATTAACCAAAAAAGCAAATGTTTTTTCAAGTACAAATTCAGCATAGTTAAAGCTTACCTTAAAAACATCTTGAGGGACAAGCTACAAGGAACTGAGACTGCAAAAGGTACACCATGGCACTAGGGGCCACTGCCTTGATGTACAACAAAAACACCTTGGAGATTTAATCTATTTGAAGTTTTTGAGTGTTGGTGAAGAGTCTAATAATGTCTAGTTTGCTTGTCATATTATTTGATATGAAAAGAGATCCTGTTGGATCTTGTCCATTGTAATAGTGGACATGCTTTGAGATTTGATGTTTCCAATACATAGATTCAGGTGACTTTCCCTTTTTAAAAAGAACAAAAATACTCCTAAAAATAATTACTTAGTTGTGGTTCTATAAGGAACCTAGATTTGCCTTTGATTTTATTTAAATTCAGTTTCAAAATATTTATAAGCTCTAACCCAAGATCTTTGTTAATTTTTTTCCTTCAGCAAGTCTTGACTCATTTTGGCATTGTTTCTTATTTCAGCTGTGTGCTTTTATATAAGCCTTGCTCAGTCTGCATGACCTTAGTGTTTTTAGCATTTTAACATTTAGTGTTTGTGTTGATGGCTTCTTACATTTGAGTGTTTATAATTGATAACTTTAATAATTCATATCAATAGAATATTGCAACATAATGAGAAGTGTTTTCAGAGACTTTGCTGTGATTTGTAATCCTAATTTATGAACCATTTTCAGCATAAAATATTTTTCTTTTTGTTCTTGATTTTTTTTTAGAAGTGGTACACCATCCCCCAAACGGACATCTGTAGGCTCCAGGCCACCAGCAGTAAGAGGCAGCAGAGACCGTTTTACTGGGGAGTCATACACAGTGCTAGGTAGGATAAAGCTTAATGTTCTCAGATTTGAGGCCCCGTGGCACACTGTAGGCTTTCTACTTGCATCTAGAAAGCCTGCCTGCATGGTGAATGAATCTCTATAGAAGTGTCTTTATTGAAACCTAAATACTTTGAGGGTTACAAGTACTTACATTTTCAGATTTACCTACTGATACTTTCAAATCTCCACTTCAGCTCATATAGCAAGCCTCATGAGTATATAATCCTCCAAGGGATTCTAACAAGGAAAGGCTTTGAAGTATTTTATATTTATAGAGACATAAGTAATACATGTAAATTTATAGCATCTTTGTTGACATGATTATTTTCATGGAAAGAGTAGTTAAATTCAGTGGGTATGATGGCATATGTAATCCAGTACTTGGGAGGCTGAGGTAGAAGGATCCTGAGCTTGTGGCTAGCCTGAGCTACATTTTAAGATTTGCTCTAAAAAAGAAATTGTTGATATAGTACATGTGATAAGTAAAAATCTGTGATTCTTAAGGACAGCTAAGCATCAAAACTTTTTTCTGATCTTTTATAGGAGACACTGCTATTGAAAATGGACAACATTATTGGGAAGTAAAGGCCCAGAAGGATTGTAAATCCTATAGTGTGGGTGTAGCATACAAAACTTTGGGGAAATTCGATCAGTTAGGAAAGACAAACACCAGTTGGTGCATCCATGTCAACAGCTGGTTACAGAACACATTTGCTGCCAAGCATAATAATAAGGTCAAAGTTTTGGATGTTCCTGTTCCTGAGAAAATAGGTGTGTTTTGTGACTTTGATGGGGGTAAGTGCATTTATTTTACTGAAAAGTCATTTCCCCATACTTGCTTGTATTTGAATATATACTTTATATATACAAAATAGTATGTGTAAAGTGTTTTACTTCTGTGAAAGTATATAGGGATATTACTTTTTTTTCTGTTCCTACTTGGTGGCAGTTGATTTTTTTTTTTTTAGGAACAGCTTACAGAGAAAATTAGAAAATGGACAAAACAACTATATTTAGAATAGATGAAAAAGAGACAAATGAGGCAACCTGGTTAGGATACAGACCAAGAGGAGAGCCATCAAAGGGAACCTCCAGAAGAGAGAGCAAGTGTGAGGTCGAACAGTTAGGAAGTCAGTTAGGCTAAGATGCTACTGAAAGGCGGACTGTGAGTGGAGTTGCCTGTGACTTAATAGTTAGAAGACAGACTGACAGAATGTGAGGAGAGTATGCCTGTGACTTAATAGTTAGCAGGCAGACTGACAGAAAGTGAGGAGAGTATGCCTGTGATTTAATGGTTTGCAAACCAGTGGAGAGAAGCTTAAAAGCTGAGAGAATTTGGTACAATCTCTATAAGAGGGAAGAGATCTTAGCATTTAGTAAGCTAATAAAACCCTTTTGTTGGAGATAAGATAGATAGTTGGTATAGAATAAGAATAATGTTATTGGGTGGATGCTGCCCTATGAATTTTAAATCATTACAGCTAGGCTTGAATACATTTTTACTATTCAGATTAGGAACCATTGAGATCAACAACTTTTGCCAATAAGAAATGTTTCTTTATTCAGGTAGCATAAAAATCTGTGCTTCAGGGATTTGACTAATTTCTGCATCCTGCTAATTTTGGAGTTATTTTTATTAAAAAGTTTTCTAGGTTCTTGAATAAGCAGTCGTGAGTTGTTGAGTGGATGTAGTGGACAAAACTTGGTAGCCCCATTTGCTGTATTTTTGAAGCATTGGTTGTTTGATGTAAGGTCAGGCCCTTTGTGGTAACCAGGGCCAGCTGTAGGAGTTGCAGCTTTTGATGCATCTCGTGGATTTGCTAAGCATGCTTTTCAGGTGGGATGATTTGACAGATTGATCAGACAGACCAGCATCAGAGTGCCAGGCAGTAACCATGACTTTTTGAGAGGGAGGGAAGGAGAGAAGGAAGGAGGCAGGGAAGGAGAGAGAGGAGAGAGAGAACCACACATGCACACACTGGAGCCCTTAGGAAGTGTTTTGAAACTTCTTGGTTTGACCACTGAGCTAATCATTGCTTGTCATGTACCCTCTACTTGTCCTTACATGTCACAATCACACTAAGAAATGATTGTTTGCATAGAATAAGAGAGGGCATCAGTTCAAAATGTTTTCATTTTACATCAGTTTAGGAGGCATCCACTTACCCAGTCTTTTCACCTTTGCAGTTGCTTCAAAAACAGACCACCATGGAATGGTCCCTGTTGAGTTGCTTGGCAACTTTTGTGTAATTAGTTGTAAGAAGGCCATTGCCATTTTGTGAAGGCTGACCGCCGTATTCCTTGTCTTCAAGGCCCTTCTACAAAATTTCTCGCCCTACCACTATAGTGCACATTCACTAGCGGTTCCTATGGCCACTGTAGTATTGTGTCCACTGGCAGTACCTCTGCCAGCTGCATTGCTGATGATGTGGGCTGTATTTACTGCTTTACAACCAGTTTTGAACTGTGAGAAAACTGAGTTTTCTTTTTGTCTAACATTTCCATAATATAAAATAAATATAAAACAGCAACTAATGTCAGTAGCAAGAAACAAAAAGCAAGAAATGTGCAGTAAAGTGATACATAATATAACTATAGTTATTTGAGAATTGTATGGCATTCTTAAATATGTCAGTGATGGCAAATTTCAGCAGTGCACAAACCATACTTACTTGTGCACCAGCTTAATAGATTGTGGATACCACTAAGGTCTTGAAGACCAGGAGAAAATTAGATTTAGATTTTTATTATTTATTTGTTTGTTTGTTTTTTGAGATAGGGTTTCTCTGTGTAACATCCCAAGCTGTTCTGGAGCTAGCTTTGTAGACCAGGTTGGCCTAGAACTCACAGAGTACCTCCTGCCTCTACAGTGTTGAAATTTAAGGAGTGTGCCACCACCATCTTAAATTTTTTTCTTTATCATGTTTTTAAATTTTTATGAGAATTGTTAAGTATGGTTCATATACAATTTGTAACAAAATTAATGTTAAAATATAGCTTTTGACATGATCACATGTTGAACCTAGATGTTATAACTTTGGATAATAAACTAGGCTTTTCTTAAATCTTTTTAGGTCAGCTTTCTTTCTATGATGCACACTCGAAGCAGTTGCTATATTCCTTCAAGACAAAATTTACTCAGCCAGTACTGCCTGGTTTCATGGTTAGTATCTTATTTATATTTTATTTGGCTCTGCAATTTTGAGAATAGTATGTGTTGTATTATTTGAGGAAGCAGAGTTACCTTGCTCCCTTTGTATTTGTCTCCTTTTACCCACTCACCCTTTCCAAATTTCTGTATATTTTCAGTATGTTTTCTTAAAGTTAGTACTAACATACAAAGGTACAAAACACCAGCATGAATATTTACATGACTGTACTCACCTTTGTAACTAATACCCAAGCATTAGTACACCCTATGGTGTGTCCTGTGTGCAACTCCATTCCCCCAGAGGCTCTTCTGGAAGAGCCAGCCATTGTCTTTCTCTAGCATTCCCGGTTCATTTAGCCTCCTCTTCAGCTTTGTGGAACTGAATGATATCTTTCTGGCTCCACCTTGTGTACTATTTGTCCATGTTCCCATGGTTTTAGTTTGTTCACTTGTTCTTAGAACTACATCATTTCCCAGTATGTGACTATGTCGTAGTCTATCCATTCTAATATAGGTGGAGTACTTTATGTGGGGGTTTTCATTTGGAGGATATGACACATAGGTGATTTCAGGCCTATTGAATTACTACAGACTGATTTGTGAAGAACAATTGTATTTCTTCACACAAAATGAAACATATCTTTAATTTTTTTTAAATGCAATATCATAACTGCTTCTAATACTGGGCTGTCTGCTTTTCTCTGGTAAAATTAGGTTACTGTAGGGAGTTCTGGGATCCATGAAAGGCACCATTGGTTTGAATAAAACTTTTCTAATCTGGGGGCTACATCTCCAATTGGTATGATGCATTTCAAGTGCCACTTCATTGGTTGTTCCACATGTGTGCTCTTCCATGTTTACTGCAGGTGTTAACACTACATTTGAGAAGTGTTCAGGGTATATGCAGATTTAGAATGTATATTTATTTTCAAAACTCAACAATCAATTTTTTGATTCCTGACACTTTAAAATCTTAAGTTTAAAATAATCCTAATAACCAATGTTCTCTGTTTCCCACTAAAACATAAAGGTGATTAATGAACAAAATTGTTGCTCATGGAAAATTGTGTTTGTTTGTTTATCTTTTGAGACAGGGTTTCTCAGTATATCCCTGGCTGTCCTGGAACTTACTTTGTAGAACAGACTAGCCTTGAACTCAGAGATCCACCTGCCTCAGCCTCCCAAGTGCTACTATTAAAGATGTTCACCACTATTGCTCAGCTCATGGAAAATTCTTAAAAATATATTGGGAGAGTTGTTTGTTTTTCACTTTCTGAACTTAGCCACAAACCTCTAATATAATATGTATTTTTGGCTGTTTTTGCATTGAATCAGTCAGAGACAAATTGTTTACCATATATTACTCAGAGGCCACTTTACCTACTTCTTAGCTATATTATAATTCATTTTCAATTTGAATGCATTTTACATAGATATTTATTGATTTTATCCATTATTTTTATTCCAAATAATTATAATTACACAATAATATAGATAGATAACCTGAAGAAATGGTTTTAAACCTTTTTATTTCCCTTCCTTGGAACCCTTAATTATGGATATTGTTTGCACACAAGGTTAATTTTTAAAGTTAGGTTTAGTAAGGTATAATTTACATATTGTATTGTACACTTGTGAGTTTTGCCAGATGCCTACAGTCATATAGCCGCTACCATAAATCAAGATTTGGAATGGTTGGCATTATAGGAAATTCTGGCATGCTCCTGTGTACCAGGGCTTTCCTATCACAACCCACCCAAACAATAAGTAAACAATAAGTAAAGAAATTTTTAATTTCTGTAGTTTTGGCTTTTTGAGAATGTCATATAGATGAAGTTGTGTGATATGTGCTATAACAGAGCACATGTGACCGTTAGCTTTACTGCTGCTGAGTAGTGTTCCATGTCTGTAGGTGCTGTGGATACTGAGTGTTTTCACAGTGCCTGGAATGAAGCCAGGACTTGCACATGCTAAGGGAACACTCTACCACTTGCCTTTGTCCCTTCCTCGAATTATTTTGAGACAAGATCTATTTGGAGACTAGGCTGGCCTGAAATCCTCCTGCTTATCTCCCAAATGCTTGGCTTACAGGTATGAGCCATTATGCTTGGCTTGTACCACAATTTATCTGTTTATTTACCAGGTCAGGGACAACAAATAAATAAATAAAGCCACTGTACACATTCACATGGGCATTTTTTGTGTAGACATATGGTTTGCTTTCCTTTGGGTAACAGGGTTGTTTAATCACATTGAAATTTTATGTGTGGTGCACAACTTTAATCCCAGCACTTGGGAGACAGAAGCAGGTGGATGGATCTCTGTGAATTTGAGGCCAGCCTGGTCTACAGAGTAAGTTCAAGGACAGTCAGTGCTGTCTCAAAAAAAATTATGCTTAATTTTGTAAGAAGCTATCAAAATGTACTCCACAGTGGCTGTGACATACTTGCATTGCTACAAGCAACTGTGAAAGTTTGTCATACCTTTGCCATTATTTGTATTGTCATTTTATTATTGATGTTGTTGATCACAGAGATTTTCTCTCTTGTTTCTTCTTCAAGTTTTGTATTTTTTTGTTTGTTTTTTGAAACAGGGTTTCTCTGTATTGTTTTGGAGGCTGTCCTGGAACTCACTCTGTAGACCAGGCTGGCCTTGAACTCACAGAATCCACCTGCCTCTGCCTCCCAAGTTCTGGGATTAAAGGTGTGCACCTCCAACACCCGGCAAAGCATTTAAGTCTGTGATTGATCTATTTTGAGTTGACTTCTGGCTCAAAATTCTTTTTTTTTTTCTCTTTATTCTTTGCACATGGATATCCACTTCCCCTCATACTGCTTATTTTTAAAAGCAGTATGACCTTTCTCTGTTGTTTTCCTTTTATGATTTTGTGCTAGATTTTGCTCTCAAAATTAAATTTAAAAAAGTATTTTATGTACATGAGGGTTTTGCCTACATGTATATTTGGGGTGTGTTGTTCTCTTACCTTGGCACAAGCCAATGTTATCTGGGAAGAGGAAACCTCAGTTGAGAAAATGCCTCTATCAGGCTGGGCTGTAGGCAAACCTGTCCTATCTTCTTGATTGATATGGGAGAGGAGCCCCAATCCACTGCTGATGCTGCCATCCCTGAGCAGGTGATCCTGGGTTGTATAAAAAAGCAAGCCCAGAACATTATGCGAAATAAGTCAGTAAGCAGTGACTCTCCATGGCTTCTGCTTTCATTTCCTGCCTTGAGTTCCTGCCCTCAATTCCTTTGTTGATGGACTGTGATACAGAATATAAGAAAAACTCCTTTCTTCCCAAGATGTTTTGTTGATAGTGTTTTATCACAGCAATAGAAACCCTAAGTAAGCAGTGATTGTATGCCCATCTCATTCATTCCTGGTGCCAAAGAGGTCAGAAGAGGGCACCAGACCCTCTGGAACTGGAGTTACAGATGTTTGTAAGCCACTGCCATGTGGGTGCTGGGAACATAATCCAGTTCTCTGAAAGCAACCAGTACTCTTGACTGCTGAGTCATCTGGTCAGTCCTCTTCTGCTAGATATTTAACTAAATATTTTTCCTGAATCGTTTAAATAGTTAGTACTAGTTAGTACGTCTATTTCTGAGGAATATTTTTATATTTGGGGAATTTGTTATTACCAAGCCTACTAGTTTTAAAAATGTAGTAGATCATTTCAGTCTAGTTAGTAGTGAGTTAGGGTACATTTGAAAGTAGAAATACTTAATTTCTAGATTTTTTCCTTGATTTAAGCCCATGTTGGCTACATACATGGTAGCTGGCAATTTAAACGGTCTGTATTTTTCTATTTTAAGTCTCTTGACTGTTCCAATCTGTCTTTTAGCTTTATTGACTAATGAGACGGTGTTTCACAAGAAAAAAATGGCTTTATCTTTCATAAGCTCACTTGTCATTTTTTAAATCAGTGTGTGCATAAGAAAGAGAAAAACAGAGAGAGAGAAAGAGAGAGAGAGAGAGAGAGAGAGAGAGAGAGAGAGAGAGAGAGAGAGAGAGATTAGGGGCTACAGTGTGATGTGGAAATCACCTTTTAGGAGTTGGTTCCTCTCCTTTGACTATAGGTTCCAGGGATGAAACTCAGGTTGTCTGGTTTGCATAGACAGTACCTTTAATTGCTAAGACATCTCACTGTCCCATATGCCCTGTATCTAAAGCCATGCCTCAATAGTAAAATAATAAGTGAGATAAGGAAATTTCTTTGGGGTACATGTCCCCTGATTGTAAAAGTTAAGGGAGTACCAGCAGTCAACATTGTCTGCTGAGATTAATCCAGTTTGGTCTCTTGAGTTTCTGCTGCCCCAAGTTCCATTTCTTGGGTGCAGTTTCAGTGGCTTCTTCTACTAAAAAGACTTCCTTTGGCCACTGTGAGCCTTTCTGTTTCTCCTCAGCCCAAACATGAAACTTATAGTTTGGAATTTGTTGATGTTCATACATGTGACATTTGTTTTTCAAATGGAAAGTTAAGGATTCCTGGAGTTCACTTTGATTTGAGTCTAACTGAGGTTTTGTCTTGTCTTAGATCTGGTGTGGTGGACTTTCTCTGAGCACTGGAATGCAGGTTCCAAGTGCCGTGAAAACACTTCAGAGAAGTGAAAATGGAATGACTGGTTCAGGGAGCAGCCTCAACAATGTCACTCAGTAATGGCACCCAGACTGTGTTCACCCTTCCTCTTTGATTGGGTGGCCTCTCCATGCAGCTCCTAACACAGAAGTTTCTGAGTGCTGGAAATGGGGTTTGCTATGCTCTGCTTTAAAGCCTGGAATCCGCTAGACTAAGCACCAAATAGGAGGCAGCCACAGGACAGTACTCAGTGTCACAGAAGCAAGCATTTGTGTAGGAAAGTAAGTAGGAAAAGGGTGGTACTGATTTTTATGTAGAAACCCATTTTTCTGTTCCTTGAGCTACTTTGGCCTGTCTAGTGTGTGTAATTCTGTATGGTGACCCAGGACCTGCGCTGCAAAGCTTGCCTTTTCTCCTTGCCTTGTTCTTGTTTCTCCTCACTCGCTGTCATTAATTCCTTACACTGAAGCTTTAAAAACACAAGGTCCCCTAAGGCTTCCTAGAAATTAAAATTATTGCCTAGGGATGGCAGAGGAATTTTCTCACTGTGGCTTATTTCACCGTTTTATAAATAAGCTGAGCTTTTGATAGGTAACTTATTTATTGACCAGATTCATAAAATTTTCTCCTAAAACATTGTGATATAGTTCTTATAACTCAATATTGATCAGATAGGAGGAATTTAGACATCGTAAAGGGAGCATCCTTCATGTGTGCTTCTGTTGAGTTTCCTGCTCCTCCCGTGGCTCCTGGGTACCATGTGAAAAGCCAGCTTTCTGATTTTCTTCTCTTCTTTAATCCCGCCTCTTAAAGCTACCATTGATAAAATTTCCTCCTAAATTTGGCACTGATGATAATTATTGCTTAATTTACCCTCCCTAGTAAGAATGAAAGTTTGTTAATTAAGTCCTATGAAGGGTAAAATGCTGCACATTACTAATTTTTTGTCTATGAAAGATTATAAAGATATATTCCTATTCTTTTCTGGAATAATTTAAATGTTCTTTTTTACAAAGATATGGAATGGTTTAACTAGCTGTTTTTTAAAAAAAAAAAACTACTACATGTGTCTGACTTAATTGGTACTATGTTTTTTAAATAATCATTTGAAGTTTTTGGTGTTTTATTTTCCTGTCTTTTTTGTTCCACTCATTCACTGTTTATGGTTCTTCCACAATGAACATAGTTGTCTTTCCCGAGCCCATACATTTCCCAAAGGAAAGTGGCAAACAGTGAGCAAAGCTATGGCTGTTAACAGAAAAACCTTCCATTACAGAGTTGGGTAAAACTTTTAACTCAAATTTTTGAGCCAAAGTAGAAGTTGAAATTATAAAACTGCTTTCAGAACTTTAAAGACATGAAAATTTGACTTTGATTAATTCTTGAGACTTTTAAGTTTCTTTTCATTTTAAGTATTTTGGGCTTTGGCAAACTTCCCTGGAGAAGTGTCCATTGTTGCTCTGTGTGTAGTTTGTATGATAGTAATAAGTATTTGCTCTTAAAAATGTACTGCCTACTGGCATGATTGTATTTGTTCTGTTGATGAAATGAATTTGACCTAGGATGTTATTTTTTCCATATAACAACTATCTATACTATCATCTGATAACACATTAGTAGTTTCTAAGATTAAAGCAGTTTACAGAATGAAGTATGTCAATATTCTTTTGGTTCCCCAAAGCAGTATTTTACTTTTCATTTCTCATAGTGTGAAGGACATTTTTTCAGAGTTCTACTACCTGTAGGAATGTTATATCCTGACCTAAGGAAAAAGATTTGCTCCTTTTTATAGACTCATACCTGAAAGCAGTAAGTTCCTGGAATTGCTTTGTGTGGCTACTCAGTATAATTGGTCAAAAATGACATGAAAAGGGCAGCTGTTCTTATATAGAACTTTTCATTAGGATTTTATATCTTACATAGTTGTGTCTTCTCATTTATACAGTGCCTTTTTCCTCTACGCATGCTCATTGTCAACTGAATTCAAGCCAGGCAGCACTGTACTGTAGTGGTGAGGGCTTTCTGTTGAGGGCTAGAGGAGGACATGTGGTTCTTCCTTGTCCTGGTCCCATCATTTGAGACCTTCATATAAAATTTCCACACATTCATTGGAAAACACGGGACTTTGACTGGGAAGGTTTTGCTTCTCAGCGAATTTATAGTACAAAGTATAAAGTCAATGAATTAGACTCCAAGATTTTATCATATGATATTTGGTACTAATTATTCCTTCATTATTTTAAAATAAGCATCAGAGGTATTTCTTCTGTCTGGTTCTTATTGTCTCTTATTTAGAAAAAAAAAAAACAGAACAAATCTGTGGCATTTTAGTTTAAAAAACCTAAGTTTATTAATGGAACTTTGTCACCCTTGTTTTAAATTTAAAAAAAAATTGAATATAGTGCCTACTTAAATCATTTCAAAATACGGTAACTATTAACCTGATCATAATATGTAACACCCTCATTAGCATAGAGTTAAAAATACTGAGCTTCTTTGCTCAGCCTAGTCTGCTGTGGAAAGCTGGCAAGCCCTCTCCAGCACCCTTCATTGCCTCTGTGTCTGCCTACCCACCCCCAACACCATGGCTTGCCATGAAGGGAATGCAGGGAGTGGGGGTGGACTGTAATGGATATACTGCAGGTGGAAAAAACTGTTTCATAAAAACAAGTATTGTATTTCCCTTTTAGCAGTTGAATTCCAACCCAGTTTTATTTAGCTGGAAACAGACAGGAAGGAGCAGCCTTAAGCACTTTAGAAAAAGAATTCTGCTACAATTCACTTGCCTCAGCTGATTGTGTCATGTCTTTTTAAAATTTTGGTAAACATGTAATATATCTAGAATTCAATTACTAACGCACATAGAAATTTCATATATAGTGATCCTTTGGATGTTCTGGGTATAGGTTTAAACAAAGTATTAAGAGTTTGTCTGTCTGTTGGTTTAATTGACAGCATCTCTGGCATGTGATAGGAAATTGCTAGAAGCCAGGCGTGACCTCTCACTCTGCTCTGCAAAACACTCTGTTCTGAGTAATCTAAAATGAGACACTGACTTACAGTCATTATCTCTTTTATGGAATCAAACAGTCAACACTATTATGTATAATCTGAACTTCCATGATTGGTCCTTGGTATGAATAATAAAAGAAAATATTTATGATGAAATATTTTAATTAGGTCAAGATATTCTATTTCCTGACTTACATAGAATTATTAGTTTTTCTATATATATCTTTTCCATGAAATTATAGCTATTTATGTATTTGCAGCTGTTTCTTTCAAAAAACAATTTAAAAAATTGGAAAGAGATATATGTGGGAAGTGATTACTCCAAAGAATATTAATCCTAAAAGAAGACAGTGTAGACTTCTTACCATGAAATATATTACTCTAGGCTAAGGTACCTAGGCACAGTAGGTAATGTGTCAGTCTCATATTACTCTAGGCTAAAAATTTAACTGTTTTAGTCATAGCTTTTTTAGGGCCTTTGTTAGATCAGCATATAATTCATATGGCAATACTTGAGTTCCTATGATATGGCATCAATTTTATTACTTTCTATCCAGGTTTCCAAAACTAGTAGAGTTTAATTCACCATAGCACCACATTCTGCTCTTTTTGATTTTATAGTTTGGTCTAAAAATAATGTTTTGTTAATATGCCATTAAATTTCTAAAAAAAAAAAAATACATTCATGGGCTGGCAAGATGGATCACAAGAAAAGAGCTTGCTGCCAAGAAGATGACTCAGTTCGTTCCCTGGGACGCAGATGGAAGGGGAGAAACAACTCCTGCAAGTTGTCCTCTAACCTACACACACACACACACACACACACACACACACACACACACACAATATAACTTGAAAAATTTAAAGTAAATTTGTTGTAGTTTGCAAAAATGTTATCAAATTAACTACACATAGTAACACTACACTTTTATATTATAACCAAAAGTCTGGAAAAGTTTCTTTCCTGGTTTTATTCTTAAAATATAGACAGTCTTTCAGAGGTAAGCATGAATTTCCTTAGTATCCAGGTCACATCAAGTTGTTATTTTCAACCAGATATACTTTTCATAGTTCTGTCACTCAGAACTACAGTAGGTAGTAAAGCTTTTCTTTTAGAAAATCATCACAGCAGCATTACCTCGTGTTTGGTATTTTTAGTTTTATCTGTATCTTAACAGTGTTCACACTTGTGATTCTCGTGTCAGTATTGTATTACCTGTAAGGCATGATTAATCTGAATACCATAGGAACTTTCCACCAGTTGGAATTTAAGTGGATTGTTTGCTGCTGTAGTTTGAATTAAAAGGTTGTCCATGCCATATGACTGTTTATAATATTGGCCAGGTAATCAGTGCCAGAAATTACCATAGAACTTTTATCTTGACTACCCAACCATATTAAGAGTACTTGTTCCTGGGTTAATATAATACACGGACTTTAATACATCATCATTGAAGTTGTATTTGTTTAAAGTTATATATTTTCTTAATAATCGCTAACTTCAGTTGGTGCTTAGGAAAAAGTATGTAGAGGATTTGCAGTATGTAGAGCAGAGGTCAGTGAATGTATTTGCTTGGTTTGGAACTTTGAACCAATTCTAAAATAATCAAATTGGAAGAGATTAGTAAAAGGCATTTTAATACTGTTGGAACTCTTTTGGAGAGCATAGGACCCTGAGAAATTTTTTTTGAACATTTTCAGTATCTCTAAGGTACCAAAGCACTGAGTCTAATGGATGCTTTGATGGAGTCTCTGTAAAATCAAATTCATAACTGATTCTATTAAGATATAATAGCTAAAGTTGGGGGATAATGTCAGTAAAAGCTTCTAGTCATTAAGATTTTTGTCATTCTTCTAAGTGTTTAAAATGAATTATTATAGCTCTCCAATGCAGTAATCTATGACCTCTTTGTAAGTCACTCACCACCTTTGGGTCTCTATTGCCTTACTTAAAATATTGTACATTGTTTAGCCTACCTCACAGGGCTGTTGTGAGGAGTGTAATGAAATGGAGTCCTCTGTAAAGGGGTGCTTTTCATTAATAATGGCTGTAAGTGTGGATACTTGTAAATGCTGTTTATTTTGAAAAAGCATGCTCTTAAGTTGGTATTACAAGTGATTTTTAAATGATTTTTTTAAAAACAAGACTTCTATTAAAATGTCCTTTATTATTAATTTACTCTGTGCATGACTGAGTCATTGTATATTTTCTCATCAACTATATAACTTCTGGGTTGTGAAAGTTCCTCCATAGCATCCATGTGTAGAATGGAAGCCTAAATAAGCAAATTACTTCAGCTCCTTCTCCATCAGGGATTTACACTTCCCATTAAGGACAGCCTGGTACCCCATGCAGAGTGAAGTTGGCTGAAATAACTCTTTCCCAACAACCGGATGGCTCAGCTGATGGTTGCATTTGACAGGTATTCATCAGCTTTATTGAAAAACAGTTTAAAAACCGTGTTTATTAACTTATATCAGTTATTACCTGGACATATTTGTGTTGCTCTAAATTGGATGTAGTAAATGGTTTACAAGTTATCCTACTCTACAGGATTTTGGTGTGTCTGTTATCTGGACATGATTTTGCTATGCAGTTATGATAATAAAAATTGCAGTTCCTCAGGTTTAACCTTTTAGTTGTGGATGAAGACCATTAATAAACTACATGTGATATATTCAGTGCTACAAGAGTGTTTGAAATGAGCACACTGCCTCATTTTCCTTAGAAACAAGACAAAGCCTTTTAAATGCTGTTTTTAAACTTAAAATGGGTGTAAAGTCCAGTAACTTGTATGTTGAGATGATTGTATGTTCTGTATAAAATGTTTCACTTGAGGTTTTTACAAAAGCCCCGTATTATCCCTTCTAAAAATTAAACTTTTCCTTTGCTTTCTTTTGTGTCACTGTTTGATTTTTATCAACTTTAATTGAAATATTCATAGGTGTTTATTGAGAATGAGAATATTTTAAAAGCCATAGTGTCGTTGCCTTAAAATGTTAGACAATGCCATTTAATAGAGTTTTGCGTAATGATAGAAAAATCTTGTATTTGTTCAGTAGCCATAAGTCACGAAGTAGCCAACTGAATTTTTAAATTTGCATTAATTTAAACATGAATACACGTCACTGGTAGGTGTTGTTTTATACATCAAAGATGCAGTAGTTACCGAATCACATTCTAGAGTACATTTTGGGAGGGGTCCCTAAGAGGTAGACTAAAAACTCAGTCCTGTTTGCAGTATGTACTCTAACATGAAACAAATGAAAGGGAAACTAACTAAACAATGAAAGAATGACAGTATTTAGGCTGTAGTTCCTGTATTTAAAGTCTCTCACCAAGAGAAAGATAAAAAGCAAACACTGCATTGTGAAAAGTGTGTGAGAAAGATTTTGAGGGGGTAGAACTCTGGTGTAGAAGGTCTATGGATGGGTGTAACTTAACAGTTTATTGGAATAAACTGTTGGATTTTATCCAACAGATTTTAAATCACTTACCCTTGAAAAGTTAGGTTTTTCCAATGATTTCTCTTGCACAGATAAAACTGTATTGATTGTAGCATTGTGATAGTAAAGCAGAAGCAAGCTGATTGCTAATTGAAGAAAGGCAAACATGGATCATCCATCCTTATCTTTTTTGGTTGCTAGTCAAAGAACTGGCCTCCACAGTTCAAAGTTACTTCAGTAAAATAGGCTATCAAAATTTTGAAGGTTCCCTTTTCTAATTTGGAATTGCAAGCTAGTATTTGTATATGATGATCTATATACATTTGTAGCACGAAAAATAAAAGACCCAGAGACCGATATTGAAGATCAGAAAAGTAAAGCAGTCAGCCACTAGCTCTTACCCTACCTCAGCTCAAACCAAAGGGGCAATCCTCAGACTGCTCCTGACTTCACTACTCCTCAGATTCAATCAAACTGCTATGCTCTCCTCAATGTGGCTAGAGACTAAATCTCCATATGAGACCCTTTGCTTTTTATACCTCTCTACTGCTGGGATTAAATGTGTGTGATCCAAAGGTGTGAGTTTTGTTACTCTTCACTCTTGTGTAGGCCATGTTGGCCTTGAACTAACAGAGATCCATCTACCTCTTAATCCTGAGTCCTGGGATTAAAGCTGTGTACCACCACTGCCTGATCTCTATAGCTTGAGGCTGACTTTGCTTTCTGATACCTCAGGCAATCTTTAATAAATGATAAATAATACATCATCATATATATTCTTCATATCCCTCACTGCAATTGATACTATAAATATGTAGACTGTTTTGTCACTATGACCAAATATCTGACAAGTAACTTAAAGGAAGAAATATGTATTTTGAGGGGATAGAAATCTGTCATGTATGGGAAGGCATGGTGGCTGGACCAGTGTGCTGTTAATGACAGGCATATGAAAGAAGCTACATTTTCAGTTCTTCGAAGATTAGGGAAAGAGATTGGTCCACTTGCAGACAGGCTGTAATCTTTAACACCTGCCCACAAACAACACACTCCCAGCAACTGTAGGTTCTACAAACTCCAAAGCAGCACCACTATTGAACATAAGAGCCTGGAGGGGCATTTTACATTTCAGCAATAAGATAAACCTTATGGCAGTTGGTGTCCTCAAAATTTGGGGCTTTTCCTTAGTATATCATGTGCACTCTTTTCTGTTGAAGTTTTTCTGTATTGAACATAGTTTTGCATTTACATTGCATGGTACTAACTAGTTGCTTATACCCACTTTGCTCAAGGTCAACACCGAAGGAATTGATTTTATTACTGTGTTTGCATGTAACCCTGCACCCATGATAAAACATATAATATTAAGGGTATTCATAGTCTAAATAGATCTGTCCAGTAGTATATACAGTATGATACTGCATGCAGGTGCAGTGGTGGTGGCGCACACCTTTAATCCCAGTTCTAGAGAGGCAGAGGCAAGTAGATCTCTGTGAGTTTAAGGTCAGTCTGGTCTACAAATCGAGGGAGCTATTACACAGAGAAACCCTGTCTTGAAAAAAAAAGTTTGCATGCACCAGGTACTTGGGTTACAGGCCCTGACCTTGTCTCCACTGGACTTCTTCATACAATCACAACTGGAAGGAATCCCTGGACAGATCCAGAGATTGTGTTGATTTTTACTTCCATAGTCTTCTACCTGAATCGAGATAAAAATGGAAAATTAAGGGCATGGGTAGGGAAAAGAGCTCCTCTCGCTGGGATATGTATGTATGTATGTGTATTATGTAAAATAGGCATTAACCCAACTCTGCTTCATATTGACTCATCCTGAAACTCCATGGTAGAGATAAGATTCCAGCTTCACCTAGTTCCACCTAGTGAAACTCCCTAAGGGTGGTTTAATTGTCTGCTTGACCCAAGTCAATGTAGGATCACATGAGAAGGGAGTCTCATTGAGGGACTATCTCAATTATGTTAGTCTGTGCACATGCCTGGGGGGGGGGCTCCTCATTTGAATTAATCGAGATGGGCAGACCTATCCAGAAAGTGGACAGCACAGTTAAACAGTTTCACCAGCTAACAACATTCTCACACATTAATTCTTTGCTCTCTTCTGGTTCTGGATGTGACATACACATCTCCCTCAAGCTTTTGTCCCTTTGACTTCCTAATATGATAGGCTGTAATCTGGGGCTGAGAGCCAAAGTAAATCTTCCTTTCTAAATTGCTATTGTCAGTATTTTACCACAGCAGGAAATGAAACTAGAGGTGGAATTCCTCAGGCTTCCATATAACCCAATTTTATATTATGTAAAAGATAGCCAGTACCCCAAAACTCCCTCCCTAGCCATCCCTAAGATTTCCTTGAGAACCTGTGTAGACCTGTTCCCAAGGTCAATTCAGAAAAACAGATTGTACCATCGGGTGTGTGTGTGTGTGTGTGTGTGTGTGTGTGTGTGTGTGTATCACCATGGGTGTCAGTTTGTGGAAACCGGATGGTGCTTGGATGTATACCAGGTCTCTTATAATGTCACTTTCCACTATTGTCTGAGGAATCTGACACTTCTATATTTGAATCTGGATTTATGTTCCTTAAGAAAAGTTATCTGTCCAGATGGATATTAAAGATTTTTTTAGATTTATCTTTATTTAGGCATATGTATGTGCATATGAGTGTATATCACATAAGTGTGAGTACCCTCAAAGGCCAGAAGAGGACATTGGATACCCAGGGACTGAAGTTACATAATAGAACTTAGGTCCTCTGGGAGAATAGTGAGTGCTGTTCACTGCTGAGTCATCCATCCAGCCCCCGGATAAGGCATTTGTATGGTTAAGCTCCTGGCTACTTAAATTTGCTAGGGCTGGTGCTTTATACTGTTGCCATAGAATGCCACGAATTTTACTGGGCCAGGATGTGTATACACACACTCCTGAATGATTCTTGAAAGATAGATGTTTACTTCTAACAGGCTATTCTTACTCATCCTGTATCTTTTCAACAGCTTTGAATTTGGTTAACCAGATTAAAACACTTTCATGGTGAACTAATGTCTCCTCACAAGTGTCTCTGACATGCTTGAGAAGGCCTATTTTCTAGTTGCTATGACAGTATCTGAGAGCAGTAACTTAAGGGAATAAATATTCCCTTTGGCTCATAGTTGGAGAGGTTAAAGTCCATCATGGGAGGTAGGCCATGGCAAGTTTATGGCAGCAGGGGTAGGTAGTTGAGTCTACTGACATCTAGATGGACTGGACCAGGAAGCAGAGAGCAGGCTGAAAGTGGGGCTGGGCTATAAACCTTAATGCCTGTCCCCTCTAATGGCACACTTCCTCCAGGGTTTTAGAACTCCACCCCTCCAAGGTTGTAAAACTGCCAGTAGCTGGAGAGACCAAGTATTCCAACAGAAGCATTTTCGGAGTGTTTCATATTCAAACTATTAACAAGTACCATTGTGACCAGTTAAGTTGTGTTTACCTTGTTATTTTCCAACTTCCAGTAGTAGACAGAGCTTTTACTTTTCATGTGCATTTACTATTCAAGCATGTGTTGAGAAGAAAAAAGTTACTGGCAAGTGGAGGAACTTTGGAGGTAAATTGCCAAAAATGTTGCTGAGAAGTTATATGTCTAAGGTAACCAAATAAAAAGGACTGCCAGTTTTCTGTGAGGGGCTCCAAATTCTTTGGCATATATCTTTAAATTCTGGTCCATTTTACAATAACAGAAACTTGAAAATGTAGATGACAAATTATGACTATGATTATGTAGAAAAAAATGAGATCGATACTTAAGCTTAAATTGGAAAACTGGCTAGTCCTCTGCCTCTTTTCAAGGTTTATGCAGGAAATGATTTGCTATTGTAGAGTAAAGGGGCCAAGGAAAAACACCCTGACCCAGACTTAACCCCAAGACCAGGGGGAAGAAAAGTAATCCCACCAATCCTTCAGCTTGCCCCAACATTGGGCCACAGAAACCTTGAGCATGAAATCTCACCAAGCTCTCAGGAGCTTGCCAAAGATCAGCACACAGAATCCCACCAATCCCAGGCCACCCTGGAGAACTCCCTGCCTACCCATCCAAGAAACCCTATAGAACACTGCATTCTGCAGCTACCTTCCGATTTTTTCCTTCCCAATAAACCTTTGTGTGAGGTTTGTTGTACTGTGTGATTCTGTGGTATTCTAGTTGCCAGGGCACCTTTTGGAGCAGGAGCAGAGCTGCAACCCTTCTGCTCCAGAAACCTTCCCCCACAGTGCCGAACAGAGCTGTAATGCATTGGGGCAGCCTTTCCCTTCACAGCTGCATTCAGCTATGCGCTTGAAAAGCCTTCACTTAGAAAAACGTGAGAGGTCTTCCTACTTATAATTTCCATATGCTGTCTAGCATAATAAACAGTGCCAGTTTCTTTCTGAATATCACCTCTCAACACTCCAGTATGCATCAAT